GCTTATTGTTGCAGGTGTTCATTGGGCAGTGAGTCCTGTAATTAAACACACAACCTCCCGAGGGAAGAGAAGTGGAAATACAGATACATTTTCATTACAAACAGAATTACACCATCACACTGTTTCTGCATCTTGCCTTTGTTTGTTTAACAATATGTTACAGATATCATTCCATGATGGCACAAAAAGATTTACCTTATTTTTTACTGGTTACCTATGCCGCTTTGTATCATTCTTTATATTTATTTATTTTAAAGATTTTCTTTATAGGATTTGTCCTATATGTATATTGGATTTATCATTTCTATAACTAGCCCACACTACTTCCCTAAAGCAGATCCCGCTGTAGTAATCATCCGAGATCCACTTTGTGCATTTGCAAAATCGTTGGCTTCAAAGGCATACATCATGTCATTTCTTTCTCCAGTGTAACTGATTTGCTTTCATTTGTTTCTTTACCTTTTTATCTGTTTCATTCCAGCTACACAATCTGTGGAGTCAACTTCCTGCCTTGATTTTCTGGAATTAACGACACTGATAGGACTATATAATAAATAAAATTTTCCCGTACAAAATAACACTTATCAAAACCAAAATACATGATTAGCATGTTTTATTATTTTCAGTTGAGTTTTATATGCTCCATCTATCTCTAGTTAAGAGGCAGTAAGAATGGTTAAGTTCTGTCCTATTCTGCATGTATCGGTATCGGTGTATGTGTGTGCGTGTGTATACATGTGTCATGTAGTGCTGGGGTTTGCATTTCTGTTTCATTTTGCCAGCATATATCCTCATCCTTGTTATACAGTTTTCAGATCAGAATATGACCTTTCCTCCTATAAAAACATCTACATTTATCCTCTGAGGTATTTTCCCTGTCATGTTATTTTTAAAAATTTTTCCCGTTTTTGTAAAAACTTTATTGAGATAGAATTCACATACCTTACAGTTCACCATTTAAAGTGTACAATTCAGTGGTTTTTAGTGTATCCAGAGTTGTGTAATTGTCACCACAATCTGTTTAGGACATTTTCATCACCGCCCCAAAAAGCCCGTGCTCTTTCCCTGTCACCCCCAAATGCTCCTGTCCCTCGCATGTAAATGTTGAAAGATATTTTTGCCCTCCAAAGCGGCTTATCCATCATATTCCCACGAATGGTCCATTGGATGCTACTTTCCTCGGACCCTCCCAGCTATCAGAATATTTCATCTTTATCAGCTTTATAGATGGAAATTGTTTCTTACTTTGGTTTGCGTGTACTTCATCAGGAATGGTGCTGACTGTCATGATCTTTTGGCAATTTGTGTCACCTGTCTGTGTGCTGCTTTGTAGACCTACTTTAAATAAAAGCGAACATATTGTCGCTGCTTTGTCCCCGTCCACTGGTGCATGCTACATGGGACAAAGACCACTTTGAAGTCAATTCACCCGAATTACAGACACAAGAGTATCCTCGGAAGAGGCCCCGAGCACCCAGAAACCCTCCCTGGGGCTCACTACCTGTGTATCCCTGGATCACCTAGTGGCATCCATCTTCCTTTTGTAGGATGACTCCCGTCCGTCCCCCAGTGTGGGTACAATTACTGCTCCTCTGTTTCCCTCCATTTTTTCAAAAATATTTATTTATTTATTTTAGAGAGAGAGCACACACAAGCTAGGGGAAGGGCCGAGAGAGAGAAACTCAAGCAGACTCCATGCTGAGCACAGAGCCTGAGGTGGGGGCTCAGTCTCAGGACCCTGAGATTATGACCAGGGCCGAAATTGAGAGCCGGACGCTGAACCAACTGAGCCACCCAGGCGCCCCCTATTTGCCACAATTTGACTTTGTCTCAATCCGTCAACCACTATTTTTTAAATGGACATTCCATGGTTTTTGTTCTTGCTATTAAAAATCTAGTCACCCCAGGGGGTGTCTGGGTGGCTCAGTCAGTTAAGCGACTTCCTTAGGCTCAGGTCATGATCTCAGGGTCCTGGGATCAAGCCCCACATCGGGCTCTCAGCTGAGCGGGGAGTCTGCTTCTCTCTCTCCCTCTGCTCCCCCTGCCCCACATACACACTCATGCTCTCTTGCTCTCTCTCTTTCTGAAATAAATAAAATCTTTTAAAAAATGAAAAAATAAAATAAAATCCAGTCACCCCAGATTAATCCTGTCTTTATATATACCTTTTACCTGGTCTGTGGGTCCTGATAGTTTTTTTCACCAGCTAAATTCCCTGGTGAAACCCCTACCAACTTTCCCTGGCTGGAGGGTCTTTGGGAAAAGCCAGAGCTAGGCTAATAAAGCCAGTGAGCCAGAACTTCCGGGAGCAAGCATTTTCCCACTGCTGCTTCCAGACCTGAGCCCCTTTGGCCGATAGTTACTGTCAGGTCCTTTTTATAGGGACCGTAGCCTGCAGTGATCAGACGTAAGGGAGAACCCTCAACCTTTTTCCACCATGACCTGACCACCAGGCACCAGAAAGCCTCGGACTGAGTCTGTTATTCATGATAGTACTTGTTAGCACCCCCAGCAATCTGCCCCTTAGGTAAACCTCGCCCAGAAGATTCACTCGCAGCGGAGGTGACAACAATATTCAGGGGCATTCCTAGCATATGTGACGCTCTAGATGGACCATCTATCTGTACTACCGCTTCCTCCAAACCGTGTATCATTTCCCGTATAACCTTGCAATAATCAGTAATAAGCATTATCTTCCTGACTCACTACATACACAATTTAAAAAGAAATCTCATTTTTATTGATTAATATTCAAATGAGAGCGCAGTGCCGCTTCTGTGATATTTTCTGCCAAACATGCGTGACCCGAATCTAGTAATGAGGAATTATCAGACAAACCAAATTGAGAGACATTCTACAAAATAATAGCCTTTTGACTTTAAAAGCACCAAGGTCCCAAAAGTCAAGAAGAGACCAAGGACTGTCCCAGACTGAAGGAGAGTGAGGAGACCATACAGCTAAATGCAACTTGTGACTCAGAACTGGATCCTTTTTCTAGAAAGGATATTATGGGACAATTGGTGAAATTTAAATGGGTCTGAGCATTGGATGGCACCATTGGATCAGTGTTGATGTCCTGATCTTAATGATTATATTGTGGTTATGTAGGAGAATGTCCTTGTTTGCAGGGAATATACACTAAGGAATTCAGGGTTGGTGGGACAACAGGTCAGCATCTTATTCTCAAATGGTTCAGGGGACAAATGTCATTTGTACAATAATTTGTACTATACTTCCAAGTTTTCTCTGTGATTTTTATGAAATACAAAAATTATTTTTAAAAACCTCAACAGTAATTGTAGCAATCATTTAGAACTTAGGCCAACAAAAGACTTTTTTGAGGAGGATTATTTTTCACTAACATTTTTCAGAATTGCTGGTACAAGAGAACATTAAAAGGCAGAGGGCTTTCAAAGTCAGTTTGGTTATTGCTATTAAATTCTCTAAGATAGTACGTCCTCTTATTGCTCGCACCTGGAGAGGACAGTGCCCACCATCCCACCCTGGGTTCACCCTGATTACATTGGCAGATCCTGCAAACAACTTCTCCAGACTGTGCGTTGGAATACTCCACCCGATGCTAGGACCTGGGACACTGGGCCAGGTGAAGCACGAGAACAGGAAGACCACTGGGGTCTGTCTGAGGCTGCTGGGCTGGCCAGATGCTTACACACTGTTCACATAGGACAATGTGCCTGTGTGGTGTCCAGCCAATCCACCACTCATTTTACCAGGGGAAAAAAATGTTTTTAAACATCCCATTGCTGATTAAAAGAACTTTTTTAGAGTCAAATGTGACAAAGAAGCCCTTGAATTAGCTGCCTCTTTAGGGTGGGACTTCTGATTAAGTTGTTTCACTTGCTATCTCACTTACCTTGGGTGTGTATTCCTGATCATCCCCCCCACCCCGCCCCGCCCCGCAAGGGGTAGATCCCACTTACCCAGCACTTATACCTACTCACTCAATGATAAAGCAGGTGACCATGTTTCCCCACCTTGTAGCGCAGAGCAGAGGGCACTTGCGGAATGTGCGTGGTGTGTGCGTGCGCCTTTCTGCGTGCGTGTGCTGGGTATAAGCAACTCCATTTGACCTAAGCGTAGTAGATTGTCAAGCTGTTTTTCCTCCTTCTTGAAAGCAGTTTGCAGTGGAGGCAGCGATCTTTAAAATGGAAGCAGTCACTCCCATCTGCAGCCCAAGGGAGGCACAAACGCTAAGCAGAGTAGTGGCGGGGGCAGCAGGCTGGGCCACAGTCCCCATCCCCAGCCCGCGGCACAGGAAACGCACCAGGGCTGTGCGGGGTGGCATGGGGGTATTGAGCGGTTAGCCCTTCTGGGGGAGAAGCCTGGTTGTTGGTGAAGCTCTATCACCCCTGCACTTTCTCTGAGATAGCCCCACCTGGCTTTTCAGCCCCAAGGGAACAGCCTTCAGTATCTACGTGTCCTCCCTCCCTACCCCACCCCCCATCCTGTCTCCAGCTTCCAGGTGCGCTCAGGTCCCAAACCTTAATGGACATGAGTCACCATGGACCTTGTGAAAAGCACATCCTGAGTTCTGCCCCAGGGGCTCTAACCCACTCAAGGTGTGCCTAGGAGCGTGCATTTTTAACCAACCCCCAGTATTTTGATGGCTGTGGTCCATGGACACTCAGAGAAACCCTGCTCTAGTACAGGAACACGGGGCTTGCGGGCAGAAAGCCCAAATCTGCCTTTGCAGCTCTTTTCTCCGCACACCGGAGGACCTCCGGCAAGTCACCCGAGCTCCCTGGGGCTCACGTTCTCGATCCCAACACCCAGGGTCGGTTGTAAGGACCAAACGCGGTAGAAGGCAAAAAGCTTTGCAAACTGTGAAGCTCTACAGAAGCAAGAGTAGGAGAATCTTGCCCTGGTTATTACATTAACCTTGGTGATCTGCCGGTGGGTATTAAAGACGCTCGGGCTCGAAGCTTTTGGTGCCTCTTAAGCAATTTTTCAAAAGGTGTTATTCTCCCCCTCCCCACCAGCCTTCAACACAGCCAAGTGTGAGAAACTGCAAAAGGAGAAGGAGGACCTGGAGAGGCGGTTTGAGGAGGAGGTGCGGAGGCTGGGCTGGCAGCAGCGGGCGGAGCTGCAGGACCTGGAGGAGAGGCTGCAGCGGCAGTTTGAGGCCGAGATGGTGCGCCTGCAGGAGGAGCACCACGCCCAGCTGCTGCGGATCCGGTGTCAGCACCGGGAGCAGGTCAGTCCGCCCTCGGCGCTCTGTCTCTGCTGTTGGGATACACAGGTGGAAGGTGGAGGGCTGCCAGCGCCGCTGCTTTAGCAAGAAGTGCTGCTCCGTAGGTGAGCTGCTGTCAAGTTCACTCTCCGACCTCATTTCTTCCTGCTGCTCCCTCTCCCCCCACCCCCCACAGCCACCCTGGCCTCCCTCCCGTGCCTTTCTTCCCAAGCACGCTCCCACCCTGGGGCTTTTGCATTTGCTGTGCCCTCTGCCTGGAATGCTCTCCCTCTAGACATTCCATGGCTCCCTCTTTCCGTCTCATCCAGACGTTTCTCCAAAATCACTTTCTCAGCGAGGCCTTTCTTTATCTAAACTTACAGCCCCTCCCCCACCACCTACACACTCTTCCTGTCCTGTCCCTACTCTAGTCGCTTATCACTGTTGAATGAACTATAAATTTTACTCGGGTCCCCTGTTTCTCATCTGTATATTCCTCGGAGGGCGGTGGTAATCACAAGCAGACACACCTAGCACTTGTGATGCACTGGGGATTGCTCTTAACTCTCTACCTGTACCAATCATCCATCCTCGCAGCAGCCCTGCGACATGGGTTCCGTCATCGCCCCCATCTCACGGGTGAGAAGACCGAGACCCAGGGGTTGAATCATCTGCCAGAACTCACAGGGTGGGGCCGGGAAAAGCCGGGGAGGAACCCAGTCTGGCTCCAGGGTCCATGCAGTCCAGTGCGAAGTTTGAATTGTCGGCCGGGTCTACCCATTCTAGATGTCTGGTGCCTGACTGCCGAGCCTTCCCTCGGCACACATCTGCTGAATGAAGGAACAAATTCTCTAGTTAACCTCAGCCTGACAGTCTTCGTAGAGAGGGCAGTGCTCCCTGGAGCCACTGAGGAGGATTCCCGGGGTCATGCCGCCCCCCCAAGCCTGCTCCCCTCCGGGACTGCGGCTTGTGCAGCGAGACAGAGGGTCAGCTGCGCTTCCGTGAGAGCTAGCTCGGCTCCTGTCTCTGCTCTTCCTTCCAGGCCCCCAGGGCTCTGATGCCCCAATGCCCGCCTTCTAACAGGTGTGTTATTTCACATCCCTAAAGTAAACTTGCATTTGTGCAGAGTGCTCTTTAAATCTCAGGCGCGCGCTGAATGGCCCTTCATTAGCATGAGTATTCGGGCTGCTCTTCTCGGACAGCTTCCAGATAAATAACCTGGACGGCAGTCCTGGAGGCTTGGGAATGCAGGAGGCACAAGAGTCATTTCAGAGTAATAATAAGTACTATTGTTGTCGTTTAAAATCTCCCATTGGACAGCCCTGTATTCGGCTTCTCGGGTTAGCATGCTCCTTTTCTAGAGGCCTGTGGAAACCAGACACGCCTGCCTGCTTGAGGTGCTTTAGACCCCGAGACCAGGAAACAGAATAGCTGGCAGCTAGAGTTACCTGCTGCTGCTAAGATTAGAAACTGAGCCCCAGCATCTTGCCTCCTAAGCTTGCAGAGCAGAGCTCCCATGAGTAGACATTTGCACCTGTCGCTCTCCACAGCCTTCCCGATTTCCTGGCCCCTCGATACATCTCAAGTGTGTGCAGAGACCCACTTGTTCTGTGCCTCTGTATCCCTGGGCTGTTCACTCCCAGTTTTACACAGATCATGTTTCCCCCTACATTCACTAGAAGATTTCTGATCTGAAGTTCCGGGTTGGTTGAGAAGATGCCAAGAGGCAGGGAGGTGGTCACCAGTAGGAGAAGGTGCTTTGAGGGAGCCCTCCGAGCAAAAGCTCCTGTCGGGGTGCAGTGTCTGGGAACCAGAGAGCTGAAGCCACAGCTGAGCGGGGCCCGTCCACTGCTGCAACACCACTGGAGGCCTGACGGGGCTTCGCCGGGGCCGGCACACACGCTGGGAGATGGGCTCTCGCCTGGCCTCTGAGCTGGGCCACAGCAGCCCGGAAGAGATTTTATACTGGGAGGGATTGGAAAGAAAGAAGGCCCCCAACCTTTCCCCTTGAGAAGGAGTCACATAAGCCACCCATGTATATTTAAGAAGTGCTCTGTCTTAGGAAGGCTCTGAGTTCTTTTCTTCTCAGTCCTTCATAATAGCTAGGATTCATTTATTCATTCATCCGTGCAAAGAATATTTGGCGAATGCCACCGCACGCAAGGCATTATGGCAGGCGACTGGGAGCGATACCAAGATATAGAACGTGTGGACTTGCTTGTGTCATAGCCCCAGGTTAGAGATCGGGGAAAGTTCTGAGACAAGTACCCAAGAAACTGTAATACTGGGTGAGGAGTACAGAGGCCATGTTTAGGAATTCAGATTACTTCTAGCTATAAGGAAAGGGGAAAGCTTTATGATGGAAGTAGCTTCTGAAGAGTTTATATGTGGGTAAGCCTTACCTATGGAAACCCATTGGTTTGGGGGCGGGGGTGGAGGATCGTGATTTAAATCTATGAATTGTTCTGCTGCTATCCTGACCCTCCCCTTCTCCAGCAGAGAGCATGCAGGCAGTGGGGAGGAAGATGAAATGTACCTCAGTCCAGCATCCCAGTTTGCAGACAGAATAAATGCCTGTTGGTCAAGTGCATGACTGCCATGGAGATTTGGATGGTCTGTGGTGTGAGTTACCCACGCAAGAATCTCCACACTCGTTGGGTCTCCCTTATCAGGGACAATTGCATTTGGCAATGCTAACTCCACAGGTAGGAGCATCTCTGTGCTCCTGGAGCCTTAAAAATCAAGTTAACCAGTCTGGCTTCTCCTCATGCCCCAGCGCCCCACGGCTGGCAATGGGGAGGCCGCATCAGTTTCGACATGCAGGATTTTCGGGGGCTTTAACTCAACTTGGGAACTCACTGCTAGGGCAGGCTGACCTCTGAGTTCACTGCAGGATCTCCCATAGGACAAATCCAGCCATTCGCTCCCCTGGAGGGGCAAAGACTGTCTCTCTCTGCCTACACCTGGGCATCACTTAGGGGAACCTCTGACAAAACACCGCTCCTCGTCTTCACCCCACATGAATTGAATCAGAATTGCTGAGGGGGGACCAGCATTGGTGGTCCGTAAAAGCCCCAGGGCCCAGCACTGCAGTCTCTGGTTAGGGTCACGAGCAGGGGGCATGGTCTTGCCTCTTGGCTTTCCTCAGTGACCTCCAAGGTATGGTAGGACTTTGATTTTAAAAGTATGACTAAAAGGTGTTTCATTAAAATCAGCTCCCATTCTATAGCTTGCTACACATTAATAGAAGCCAGATTGCCAGAACTTCCCTTTCTCGAAGCACATAGAACAGATTTCCACTGTAAACACCCATGCTTTTCCCTGTTAGCCCTAAACGGTGTTGCTTCTCTGTCCAGCTTGCAGCCCTCCCTTCTGGGCTGCCTGGGGCTGGTCCCCATGGATACTTAGCCACAGAGCCTGGTATCCAGTGACCAGATTTGTGATCTTTGACCCCATTGCTCCCAGACCCTTTGGCAGTTTGTCTTACTCCCTGACCTGGCCCTGAAGTCACCCTCTTCCGGGGGCCACTGGTTCCTAGATGCATTATGGATTCCGCTCAATAAAGTCTGAGCAGAGCCTTTGTTGAGGAGCGGCCGTGCTGGTCCTTTGGAGTTTCCACCAGCCTTGTCTCACATCCAGGACATACTTTCTCCCCTTTCCTGGAGAACTCATCCTTTTAGACTAGCTGGCAGGCTCAGCATCCCCACGGGTAATCGGAGGCCACTTTGTCCATCATCTTGCATCAGGTCTCTTTGGTCATGCGTGCTACACTCTCCCTAATCAAACAGAATGAGGTCCCCGGGGGCCCAGGGTCTTGCAGCACCAGAGCCCCCGCACGCTGGGGGGAGGCGGCCCAGGGAAGATAGGGCCTTCCATGCACAGCTGCCCACGCGCTGGGCTGGAGAAGGGGCAGAGGCGCGACCCGGACGCGAGGAAGTCGCACTGGGCGCTGTGGCACGGCTGGCATCCTGCTCGAGTCAGCGCCCAGGATGCTGTACCAGGGACAGAAGGCAAGGAGGGTCTCGTCGTTACCTGGAAAGGAACATCGAGAGAGCCCTGGGGAGAGTAAACATGGGCCGGCTCCCTCTGTCTGATCACATATGAATACAGAGTCTGGGGTGGCGGTAAATGGGAGTTTAATCTGGTTTGGGTTTAATGAGTGAAACCGAGACGACACGAAGCGCAGAGGCTTCTTCATTCTAAAGGTCCGTTTCTCGAAGTGAATTGCCAAAGCCTCAGACAACTGTATTTTGCAAATGGCTGAGTGAGGCAGGCCCCACAGCTGTATTCTCGCCCCCCTGAGGGTGGTTTTTCCAAGCCTTTGTCTGCTGTAATTCAGCCCGATAGAGTTTACTGCCTTTTGTCTCTGGGTGACCTGTGCACAAAATGACCTTGCGTTTCCCTTCGTTCACCTTGTCTGAATCTCCTCTTCAGAAGGTTTCCAGTCTCCTTAGGCTGAGAGCCCTTACTGGCTGCTTCGGAGTGCGAGCCCGTGCTCCAGAAATAAGCCAGGAACCATGGCAGATGTTGTGGGGATTAATACCATGACAACAGAGAGGATGCCAAGAGTGGACAGCCCTTTCCTCGTATTCTTTAAAAACCAAAAAGATGTATAGAAATTACTGAAATTACTAAATTACCAAAGAGTTAGGATTATTGTGCCCAAATTTTGGCTCATTGACTCTCTCTGGTTTCCTTCGAAATGTACTGGGCCCTCCACTCTTTGCATATGGCCTTTCAGAGTTAGGGACGTGGTATTACAATTCATAAAAGCACCTCTGAGAGGCCATAACAGAGAGATCATGCCCTTACGTCACCCTTAATGTATTGGGGGCGTTATGTTATCACCGGTAAGTCAAAGACCTGCCTTCCAACAAACCAGAAGGGCGTATGTTTAGCTGCAAACATAGTGTAGCATTGACCAATCAGGGCCTATCCAGCTCCAGAGACGTGCGGGACTTTTCTCGAACCTAGCCCTTCCGTTCATCTGTCTTTCCTGAAACTACCCATGGCAATTTGTATAAAAGCCCAATAAGTTAGAATCATACCAAAGACTGATGAAAGATTTTTCTTTATTCTGAACTGGGTAATGTAACTCCAGATAATGTGTGGGTATTTGTTTCTACAGTGTGCTATGGGCTTAACTGACATCAGTAATAAAGCAGAAAGAAAAGATATTTCCATTTTTTTAAGTCAGTGATTTATTTTTCCAAGAGACTAAAAGACTCTGGACAAAGATGCCATAAAAACCTCATATAAACAGGATTTGGACAATTAGATACTGTGGTAATCAGCCTTTCTGCTGAGTGCACTCATAGCTCTGAGCCTTAAGTAAAATATTGTTTAATCAAGAATGACCAGTAAATAAAAGTGAACCATTGCATACCATGTCCGTTTGCATTTTATCATGCAGCTTTCCTAACACGGTGGAGTTCATTGTTGGTTTTGCCAGAGATATTTCTTTTTTAATGGATGAAGTTCTCATTTTCCATAGGAGAGAGGAGTCAGACAAATTATCCCACGCAATCACACTATCCAGAATGGGAATCCATCCCATTTTAAAATAAAAAATACTCGGATGCATCCACTTCGTAAGTGGGCTTCCTTTCTTGTGGAGAGCCCTTCCTCCCTTCAAATCAAAGGTCAGCCTGTGAATTATCCCCAGAAAAAGGAGGGTCTCTAAGAGATGGCTGAATATTACCTGCTAGAAGCAGTGTGTTCTTACCCCTGGTCCATCAAAGAGCTTCAGGCCCCGGGGCCCATTTCCTGGTTCAGTGTTTCTCAAATGCCAGGTTTTGATACACTAGTAGGTCATGAAATAAATGTAGCGGTTTGCAACTGGCATTTTGAAAAACAAAGTAAGATAGAAATTTTAAAACCAGGTTATTTCAAGGAGGAAGGGAAAGGGTTGTCTTATGGAACTTCGGTTTTGTGTGTGAGTGGGCCCATGCTCAACGCAAGGTACGGTGGTATTTTTTAACAATGGTTCACTGACAAAGAATTTGGAAAAACACTGTTCTGGTTTGCTACCATGCGGAGAGGTGGTGTTTTGAAATTACTCCTAAAAGTCATCCATTCAAGGTTAAAGCAGCAGCCACAACAAGAACAAGAACAGTAAACATATTGGGGGGTGGGGCAGTCTGCAGAGATCAGGAAGGGTGGAAATAAAAATCCTGGACCAGCCACACTACCTGTGATTACATTCTGGAAATGTGCCTTCAGCCAGAGAAACGGGAGTAGCTCCACGTTGCCGGGGACGGGGGGAGTCCAAATTGCATCCTGGAGGTCAAGGTTATGGTGAAGCAGACACGCTGAGCGCACAGATCTGCCAGCCTGTCCTGGAGCTGGGGAGAACATCTTGAGGCATTGGTTGTGGTCTTGCTGGGGCAGGCAACAACGGTGAGTTTGAGAGAGTTTGACCAGTGGAGTTAGACAGGCCTAAGCCGACTACCAGCTCTGCCATTTACGAGTCCTTGGCAAAACATTTCAAACCCTTCTAAGCCTCGGTCTCCTTATCTGTAAAATGGGCATAAAAAGACCTACTTCGTGATGTTGCTGTGAGAGTTAAGTGCAGGAACCAATAGCAGGTGGCTTAAGAAAGGTTAGTTCCCTCGGTTTGTCTTGCGTACTGATGCTCCCACCTGCCATGGGGCAACAGAGAGCCGATCATCCAGTAGAGGGCCCTCTTCTTTTCCTTGTCCACCATTGTCTCAGTGATTGGGCAGGAGAAGGAATGGGAGTGGGAAGGGACGGGCCGGAAACCAGGCCCTGGGCAGTGAGGAGGTGGCTCAGGCAGCTGTCCCCCACCAGGAGCTGTCAGCCGCCTGCAGGCAGCTGGGCTGAGGTGGTGACTTCCCTGTGACCTCCCCCTGACTCAGGGGCTGCCACAACATCGCCAGATCCTGGCTCCCCTGCCTTGGCGCAAGGCCGAGACGGCTGTCCTCTCAGCAGAATGGCTTGTCCTTGACGTTTTGGCCACAGACATCTCCACTGGTTGAATTCCACCTGTGTTCTCCGAGCAGCGAGGACACTCCTGCCACCCACTCCCCCATCTCTGTGTGTAACCATAGCTGTGGCCTCCTTCAGGTAGAAGATCTCACGGCCAGCCATGAGGCTGCTCTCCTAGAGATGGAAAATAACCACACGGTAGCCATCGCGATCCTGCAGGATGACCATCACCACAAAGTCCAAGGTAGCTACCAGCCCTGACGTGTGCAGCCGTTCGGCCATTCGGGGTGGGCCGTGCGAGCCAAACCAGTATATACTGCTGCCTTTCCTCTCTTGCTCCTCTTTCCGTTTTCCCCTCCTCTCTGTCCTGGTGTGTCTTTCGTGTTGCTTCCTATGGAAAGAAGAGAGAAAAGATCCAGGATCCATCCAGGTAACTACATTTTTCCTCAGAAACATTTACCCTCAAACTTGCCTGGATATGAGAACCTTGGGGAGCTGTGCCGGGGGACGGACACCAGCCCAGGTCCCACCCGGCGATCCCATGTAGCTGCTGTGGGGTGCCTTCTGCACATCATAATTGTTCAGGGTTCCTGAGGTCATTCTGAGGGGTCTCAAAGCTGGAGAACCACTCTTCCAAAGTAGGCCTGGAAGTCCTGGGCTTTACCTTGTCTTGTTGCCTTTTAAAACAAAATGGCGACCCCAAGGTAGGTGCACTTTCCTCACATTTATGGCACGTTCAGGGCCACAGCAGTGTCCAGCTGGATCTGGGTCTCCACATCTCATACCTGCCCCACATTCCCCGTGGGCTATGCAGAGCTCCAAATCTTTTTTACATTTTTTTGTAACTTTGAATTATCTTTCAATACATAGAGGTTTTTTTTGTGAGTCATAACAACACTAACAACATTTACCAAGCACTACTAAGATTTTTACTTTGTGAAAGAAGCTTTTTTACACTTTTGACATGCATTTCCGTTAGTATATATCATTTATTTTTCAATTTCTCTCCCTACCTCACTTTTTTTCCCTAGTTAACTGGTTGTTTAAGCATATTAAAAGCAATAGAATTTAATAAATAGATTAACGAATTTTAAGAATTTGGAAGTTAACATCAGAGGTTTTTTTTAAGATGCATTTATTTATTTTAGAGAGAGACCATGAGTGGGAGGGACAGAGGGAGAGGGAGAGAGAATCTCAAGCAGACTCCGTGCTGCGCACAGAGCCCGACATAGGGTTTTATCTCACAACTCTGAGATCACGACCTGAGCCAAAATCAAGAGTTAGTTGCTTTAACCGACTGAGCCACCCAGGCGCCCCAACATCAGATTTCTTAAAAATTATTTTAAAAATGTTCTTTGTAAACAACGAAATCTGCTGTGCAACAACCAATACTCATGTTTTGCTTCCCTCAAGCACCAGCCCCACCACCTCTGGGACTTATTAGTACATGAAGAAGTCCAAGCTGGAGTCAAGGAAGAGTACTTCCCTGAGAACTACTTAAATGTATTATCTGTGTCCTGAGAGCATGTCTCCCACTTAGAGTACCAATTACCACCCTTGGCTGCACATTAGAACCACCTGGGGATTTTTTTTTTTTAACACTTAGGTATAGATCCCACTGCAGAGATTCTAATTTAATTGCTTTGGAGTGCAGCCTAGGCATCAGGATTTTTTAAAGCTCTCCAGGTGATTCCAACATGCAGCAAAATTTGAGAACCACTGTCTTAGAGTACAGTATTAAGCATGGGACAGAGTGTCATGACCTTAAAATAATGAAATTCATATGGGTATATAGATACTAGCGATGGTTTATACCATCTCCAGAATAGGTATTAACTTTTATCTTGGGTTTTTGGGATCATCTGCAAGTGTTCTAAAGTCCCTCACTGCACTGTAGGAAAATGGTCTCTGGAAAGGGAATATGAATGGAAATAGTGCAATGAGCCATGGTGTTGCCTTTTGCTTTTGCATTTTCATAAAAATAGGCCAGGTAGATTTTTCTGATGAATGAATCTCACTTAGATACCTACATCCAAGGCATTTGAATTATATATAAATGTCATGGCAATGTAGGTGTATTTAATGTTAGGTAAAAAATTTATTACTATGGTCAGGGCGATGCTTTCAATGACTATTAAAACTAATCATATAGACAGAGCCAGGTAGACCAGAAGCCTACATAGCTTTATATCAGTGAAATCAGCACAAACTTCTTTTTTCCCCAAATGTTAATTTCATCTATAAACAACTGGATTTCTTAGAGACTTTCACTGTCATTACTTGAAAGATTTGGGTCAGTGGAAACCACAAAGTCTTTCCTAATTGCAGCTCATGCCAGCCAGAATGATAATTGCTGGCCTCCAGTGGTCTCCTGTTCTAAGCATGCGATCCTGGCTGATTAATGGGACCTTTCCTCCCTGCAGTTATAACATGAAAACGAATTGCTTGTGTAGCCAGAATGAGATGTGCTTCACCCAGCTAATAAGACTCTTTCCATCTGGAGGAAAATAGAATCCATTCACTAATAACTCTTACATGACATCTCTTTCTGCCCAACTTGCAAATTATTACTGGAATGACACTTTTCACAGAATAGAATTGTTCCAGACTCTCTAAGAGGAACCAGTCCAATTAGTCCTTCCTTCTGTCCGAGTGTCTTAATATCGTCTCTTTGATCAAGCAAATCTTGAGACCTGTGGTTTCCAAAGTGTGGCCCAGAGGCCACCGAGGTGTCCTTGCAGACACAGCCCTGGCCCCCTCACACATCCATTCCCCAGCAAGCCCAGGCTGACAGGATGGCCGCAAACAGCAACACTCTCCTTGGAAGGCCACCTTCTTCAGCCTCAGACTGCTGCTTCGTGGCGGAAAGGAGAGTGCTTTAACATTGATGACCCAGCTGTTCGACCATGAGGAAAACTTGGAGAATCAATGAGTATTGTGGAGAATCCAGCTAGGCCAGAGTGTGGTCCAGCAGGTTGTAGGAACGAGTGTGTGTGTGTGTTTGCATGTGCGTGTGTGCATGTGCTCCCAAGCATGACTGTGGGTTTGTTTTTTTTTTAATTTACTTTTTTAGGGAGAGGGAGTGGGGAAGGAGCAGAGGTTGAGAGAATTTTAAGCAGGCTCCACACTCAGCACAAAGCCCAACATGAGGCTTGATCCCACGACCCTGAGATCATGACCTGAGCTGAAATCAAGAGTCAGACGCTTAACCGACTGAGCCACCCAGGCACCCCTACACGATTGTGTTGTGTCTGTTTCCCTCCCTCATTTCTTTTCTCTTTCCCTCTTTTTCCTTCTTTGTCCTATTCCCTTCCTCTTTCTTTGGCTGTCTTCTAAATAGCACTACGTATAATTTCGAAGGATGGAGAAGTCTCTTGAGGCTTCGGTCTGCTATCTACCGGTGTCCCTTATTCACCTACATCCTAAGTCTGGCAGAGTCTTGTTTGATCCTTTTCAAAAGACTAACTTGACTATTTGATCTCTTCTCTCCAGAACTGATGTCTACCCATGAGCTTGAAAAGAAAGAATTGGAAGAAAATTTTGAAAAGCTGCGGCTGTCATTACAGGTTAATATTCATTCTCTTAACTCCGATATCAAAATAATGGCAGCATCGTTATGGCTGTTTGCAGATGTTTATCCAGCACCTACTGTGTACTGGTTCCTGTACTAAGCACTGGAATATAGAGGTAAATGGGACATGCTCCCTGCCCTTTGGGAAGTTACTGTCCGCTCAGACAGCTGTGACCTAAACAGTGACAGACAACACACAAGGTAACACGTACTTACACCAGTGAATAATACCATTAGTGAGCACACAGGAGTTCCGAGGCACTGCTCCCCACTTGCCATGGTTAGAGGGGTACCTGAGCTGTGTCTGAAGGAAAGGGAGGACTTGGGGAGAACATTCTAGGCAGGGGGAATAAAGGGGTCCTAACGGACAGATGTCATAGGACATGTTGTGGGAATTATAAAAGGGACTTTAATCACCTGGAGGGGAGTGAGATGAAAAGAACCTTCTTTGCCTTCCACTGCCAACCTGTAGAAAACGTGGGTCTCAGAGGCCAAGGAGCTGCCTGGCTTCCTTCTGACCTCGGGAAGAATGACGGGTCTCCCCAGTCACGTGCATCTCCCTCCTGCCCTCTAGAGACCCAGGCCACCCCCAGCCTCAGGGTGGAGCCGCCTGGGAAGCAAGGGTGAGGTCGGTGGCCCTGCTTCCATTCCCGACTAAGGCTGCCTCAATCATAACAAGATTCTTTGTTAAATATTAGGAATACTCACTGGAAATTGTGAAAGGTGAGGACTAAAACTGTAATACAAAGGTGAAATTTTTGCTTCTTTGATGGTGTCCTTTCTCTGGCAGTGTTCATTGTACAGAGCCTGCCCGCCACGAAACGAATCCAGGATTGTGGAGACAGCCAGTGTCACCACTATGGAATGTACTATTCAGAAGTTTTAAAATGGGCAACCACCTGCTGTGAGCCAGCCCCCCACCACCACCCCCGCCCCGATCCATCGGTCCGTCGACGGCCCTGCAGAATGCTTGTGCAGTCCTCACGTGGCTTAGCCTCAGCACATTAACCCCAAACTGCCCTCGAGTGCCCCCCATCCCACACCATCAGAGGCACTCCCCCTCAGGAACACAAACCAGGACCATACCGTGATGTAACAAAAACCCCTTCCGGTCCAAAACCAAAAGAAGTGAGAGTTTTATTTCACATATGTGTCTTCACTCTGCCACTAACATTAAACTGACATGAATTGTACATAGTTTAGTTGTAACTCTCCGTGGGCAGAATTCATTGGGGCTGGAGATTATTTGGTACAAAGGGGATGCAATTGCTTAAGCCGAACTTTCTGGGCTACTGGGTGGCTAGAGAAACAGGTCTGGGGACAAGAGAGAGATGTGAGCTTTGAGTTTAAATCCCCAGTGTACCTCCTCTTACTAGCTTTGAAGTCATGGACAGTTACATAAGCTCTGTAAACTTGACTTTACTCATCTGTAAAATGGGGGCGATTGACAATGCCTTCCTCAAGGTGTGAGCAGATTAAGGGAAATAATGGCTGTAAAGCACATAGCACTAGGTTGGCTCGTGGTAGATGCTAATAAGTAGCGGCTGTGGGCTATGATAATATGATAATAGTTTCAAGCCCTGTTAACACTTACCGCCACTTTTGTCACGCCATCGGTTAAGTCCTGAGTGGCCCATGCTGTGCCGGATTACCAGCTGGGCTTTTCTGCCTCTCAGCTTGACTCAAAGGAGCCAACCCAAGTTGAAAAACGGTCTGTTCTGCCTGACGGCTGTGGCACGGTTGTGTGCCTATGGGTCTGTTTCGAGTAATGGTGAATAAGGCAGAAGAAGAACAGTTTGACATTTTAGATCCATCCCAGGTGGTATTTGCCTGGTGCATCTTTCATTGTTTTGCTTTTCAACGGAGGAGGAGAGACTTGAAAGAAATGCCTCCTCTGACAGCGAGGAGGAGTTTGGCGTAGGCGCCACGTAGCAGTTCAGGCTTTCGTGTAGTCACGTTCTAGAAGGAGACTGCACCGCACAGCGACTGTGCTGGACCCCGGCCGGGGTCGCCCTGGGCTGGGATCTACATTCCCCGGCTCCTGTGCGTGCCCGCTCTACCGCCCTAACGCACCAGCACTTGCATTTAATGGCACTGGGGGGGCTTTTTCTTTTTCTTTTTTTTTTTCCTTAAAAATGAAATTGGAAGTAACCGGAAACAACAACAAAAAAAAAAAAAGGAAAAGGAACCTGCCAAAGATGGTTTGCAAACCAGGGTCCTCTGGCGAGATGGAGAAAGCGGGCAAGCCAGCACTTCTACATGACAGTGTCCTTGTGTGGGATTACATAGTTTACAACACCTCGCTCTTAATACGAGGGAGAAGTGCGGGACTTTTCTCGAACCTAGTCCCTTCATTTTAACGTCACTGAAATGGTGTCACGGGGCGGAGAGCTTTGGGATACTCTGCGCTAATGAGGCACCGTCTCTCACTGTGCTTGTGCATCGAGAGGAAGCCACTGCCCAGCGTCCTTCGCTCGCCTGCAGTGATCAGGCATTGCACCTGCCCGGGCAGCCAGGGAAGGGGCAGGAAATGGTTCCTCCTCGGACATGCCATCATCTTCTCAGCCTGCACACGGAGAGCCGCTGTAGCAGCGGCACTGGTCTAGCTGGGCAGAGGGTCTACACGGGAGACAAGACTCAGCTCCCATGGCAGCTTGTGCCAGGGACACGCAGTCCAGCCTTGAGGCCCGGAAAGGCGAGGGGAGGCCGGAAGTGAGCGGAGAAGGCGAGGGAGCTGGCCAGCGGAGCAGTGCTTGTGCGAGAGCCGGAATGTAAGGTGTCGGGGAGGGGGTGGGTTGTACAGTGAGAACTGAGCTGGGAGACAAGAGAGGCTGATCAGGAGCTACGTCAACCCTGTGTAAAGTATGCACTTCATCTTGATGCCAGCGGGGTTTTACATGGAGGGGGTGACGGGCTCAGGTTTGCACTTTAGGAAGCTCCCCCTGACTCCAGCGTGAAGGCAGAGGAGTTATAACCCAGGTCCAGGAAAGACCAGCAGCGGGGCTAAACTTCAGGTAGAGGGAGAGGGACCAAGAGAGTTCGTGGACTCTGGGGACATTAAGCAGGTGGAATTGGTGGGACTTGATCCTTGGCCTCAAAATTAGTGTGTTTGGTGGTAGGAGGAGGGGTCTCAGACTGAGAGGGAAGTCAAGGATGGTTCGATGGTTTATAAATGAGGACAGTTCTTTGAGATGGATATGTTGTTCTTCCTAAAGTCGTGTCTGCAGTGGAGCGAGCTGGGCTTCTTGTCATTCTTTGCAGGACCAGGTGGACACGCTGACCTTCCAGAGCCAGTGTCTGCGGGACCGAGCCAGACGCTTTGAGGAGGCTCTGCGGAAGAACACCGAAGAGCAGCTGGAGGTAGTCCTGCTCCCCAGGCCCGGCGGCCCCACCGGGGCCTCACCCCGGGAGTCACCTCAGGGGTACCTCAGGACCTCTGTGTGGATCCGCTGCCGCAGTGATGGCTAGCCAGGACATGTCCCTGTCAGCACCTCTCTCCTGACACACAGCACAGCTGTGGGTTTCTCCAGCGACATGTTATCCTTGCCAGTGGCCCACTGCCCCCCCACCAGCCACTGTCCCTGAGCTCTCCACCCTGGCCAGGACCTGCCCTTCCACTCCATTCTCCCCCAGCTTCGGTTAGGCTGGCACGGGAGGCACCCCTCAGTGCCTGCCTTAGTAGGGTGAGGGCAGTGTTTTCCAGAAAAGCAGGCAAAATTCCTTCCCACTGATAGAGGGTTGCCAGATAAAATACAGGACACCCAGTTCCATTTGAATTCTAAATAAGTGAATTTTTTAGTATAAGTAAATCCCATGTAATACTTATACTTAAAAGGTGGTTTATCTGGAATTCTTAACTCAATGTCCTATATTTTGTTGTTGTTGTTGTTACATCTGGCAACCTTACTGTAGCATTTCTTTTTCTAAAGTGCCTTCTGTGTGCTTTTTAAACCACTTTGCTCATTTCCCATGCAAGGATGGCCCCCCACCCCAACTCTGCATGGGCACAGGGGAGACCTGTAAATCCCAACTTCTCTGTTGAATCAAGCAATCTGGGTCAATGTTAAAAGCCAGTGTTGAATTTACTCTTTTTACCCCATGAGCTCCCTTTTGGGGATGGGCTGGTCGCTTCCAGCCGTCCCAGCATCCAGAGTTTTCAGTAGATGGTGGCCTTACCTCCCTTGTTCCCCAGGGAGCTGGATTTCTTATAGCATTTCCCGTGGGAAATCCGTGAGCATTCATCTTTTTAAAAAAAATTTTTATTGTTATGTTAATCACCATACATTACATCATTAGTTTTTGATGTAGTGTTCCATGATTCATTGTTTGTGCATAACACCCAGTGCTCCATGCAGAACGTGCCCTCCTCAATACCCACCACCAGGCTAACCCATCCTCCCACCCCCTTCCCCTCTAGAACCCTCAGTTTGTTTTTCAGAGTCCTTCATCTCTCATGGTTCGTCTCCCCCTCCGATTTCCCCCCCCTTCATTCTTCACCTCCTGCTATTTTCTTTTTTTTTTTTCTTAACATATATTGCATTATTTGTTTCAGAGGTACAGATCTGAGATTCAACAGTCTTGCACCATTCACAGCGCTTAACCAGAGCACATACCCTCCCCAGTGTCTATCACCCAGTCACCCCATCCCTCCCACCCCAGCCCCCACTCCAGCAACCCTCAGTTTGTTTCCTGAGATTAAGAGAGCATTCATCTTTTATCAGGGAAGGCTGTGAGTGGGCTCACACGAGCTCCGGTAGGTCTGGGGAAGCTTGGTACAGAAGGCTAGATTTAGCTGAGTTCACAGCACTGGCGAATACCGGGCTTTTGCTGGGGCCCCTGGTAAATAGCTCTTACTCTCCGCCGTTGTAGATTGCATTGGCCCCCTATCAGCACTTGGAAGAAGACATGAAGAGTCTGAAGCAGGTGTTAGAGATGAAGAATCAGCAAATACACCAGCAGGAAAAGAAGATTATTGAGCTGGAAAAACTGGTGAGTTGGCCTGCCTCATTGGGAGAGCCCCAGTAAGCTGAAGGATATACCTTACTGTCATCACGGACGTCTTCATTCACTGCATCCAGAGGGTGCGCCCTTCCCTGTCCATTGCTTACTCCTGAGCAGGAAATGCCATAGCTGAGTCTCGAGATCTTTCTTAGGGAGCCAGGAATTCTGATAAGGAATCCGAGGTGGCGAGCCCTCCTGACTGCCTGCCTCCATCCCCCATCCGTCACTCCTCCCCTGGGGGACGGCTGCTTCCTCCCTCCTCCCTGCAGGGGATGGGTGCTGAGCCAGCATCCGGGGAGCATCACTGAGGTGTGTGCCAGGCACTGCGCAGAGCACTTCACGTGTTTGTTCTTTAACCCCCGACAGCAATCCCCTGGAGCAGGTACCGGTCAGAGGCTCCTTTCATAGATTCAGGCACAGATGGAGGCCTGGGCAGAGAGCGTAGCCCACCCAGAGCCCGCTGATGAGTGGATGGGACTCCAGGTCCAGGGCTCCCGAGGCCTGCTCTCATAACCCGCTCTCATAACCTCCCTCCCCTTCAACCCGGCTTCCCTTCAACCCGGCTTCCCCAGAACTGGCAAAGGTGCCCTTTGGGGAAACAGAGCACCCCCGAGCTCACGCCCCTCCCCTGCAGGCACAAGGGTCCTGCAAGGGCTGGAGCAGGAGACAGTCATCCTGAGTGGCTAGCAGAGCAATGTGCTTCCAAGGAGACACCATCTCGATGGGGAGGCTGATGTAAGGGTCCCAGATAGACTTTCTTGCTTTTTTACTGGTACATTTAAAATAAACGTTGATGCTATAAAAAGCAAAGACATGCATTATAAGAAATTATAAGCTAAACAAAAACAAGAAAGTTAGAAGATATTTCCAAATGCTGTTAGCACTTCCCAGAGCTTTTCCTCGGTACCGTGGACGTGCCCCACACACGGAGACCTTTGTGTCCTGCTTTCTTCCAGCCAGCGGCTCTTTAACTTGCCATCTCAGTAACTGATCATCTCATCTACCTTGTCAAGTTCCCTGCCTGTGTCTGAAATATCCCTTGAAGCTGGTTTTCCCAAGCCAGGAGCTGGTCTAGATGCACCCGTTGTATTCGGTTGTCATGTCCTCTCTTTATCTAGCACCTCCGCTCCCTGCGGACGTCTCATACTGCAGGTGCTCATCAGGTGGGATGGGGGCAGACTGCAGTGTGACTGTTGGTAAGCAGCATCCTGGGCCATGGTGACCATGGGGCACCGCCCTGCCATGCAGCCCCGCCCACATAAGGACTGACAACCGTCCTCCTCCAGGCTGGGCCATCTGCATTCAGTTGTCTGGTCACCCACAAACTTTAGGGTTTATTTGGCTGTTTTTAGCCATGTTCCAGGCATTCTGCAGCCACGCATGACTTCTCCTTCCAGAAACCTTTCTAGGCATAAAGAAAGAACTGATGTAATCACTTCCCATTTCCTGGGAGCAAAGACGAAGGTTGTAGGGAAGTTTGTGGAACAGAACTCAGCTCTTTGGCTCTGACTCCTAGTCCTAGTCATGGAAGGGCGACAGTTATCCTCGAAGATTAACAACCCAACAGTGAATTTGTCATTTTCTCTTCAAAAAATAATTTATTTCTGAATTTATCTTAGAATGGAACTGTACTTCTGCAAGGCCCTACGGGACACACGGACAGAGGAAAAGGCATAAATTGTGGGGGAATAACAACCATGGAAAATGTTGTTTTCGGATCATGTACCAAGCCCGTCTCAGGCTTTGGGTTCCTGGCTGCCCATACCCTCAGAAGGAAAAAAATGTGTCCACATTACTTCTATTTCTACCCCTCCGTTAATTCAGAACGTCATATTGTGCATGCATGCTGGGGCCGGGAATGCCAATGCAGCGCAGCTGACCATCAGGAAAAACCAGGGGACCCATCAGCCAAACTAGGTCCTGGTGGTGTTCCCTTATCTCTGACAGCGTATCTCTGACTGCAGGGACACACACTGTAAGAAATGTATTCGTGGGGCGCATGGAAGGCTCAGTTGTTTAAGTGTCTGCCTTCAGCTCAGGTCATGATCCTGCGGTCCTGGGATCGAGTCCTGATCAAGCCTGCTTCTCCCTCTGCCTCTGCCCCTCCCCCGGCTTATGCTCTCTCTCTCTCTCTCTCTCTCTCTCTCTCTCTCTCTCTCTCTCTCTCTCCCTCCCTCCCTCTCTCTCTCAAATAAATAAATAAAATCTTTAAAAAAAAGTATTCTACACAGGAACCTGATGTATGTACACACACACACACACATATAATATATGGAAAAACATATCTAAAATATGACTAACAATATACTTTTACTATATACAGTGCACTCTGATATTTTCTGTTCTGTTTCATTTTGTTTAAAAAAGAAATGCTACCTACATCTCTCTAACTTGATTTTACAACCCACTAATGCATTGCAAACTGCAGTTTGCAAAGCACTGTTCTTTTTTTTTTTTTAAGATTTTATTTATTTATTTGAGAGAAAGAGCGCGAGTGTGTGAGTGGGGGAGGGGAAGGGGGGACGTGCAAGCAGACTCTGCAACAAGCGTGCGGAGCCTGACACGGGGCTCCATCTCAGGACCCTGGGATCATGACCTGAGCCAAAATCGAGAATTGGACACCCAACCCACTGAGCCACCCAGGTGCCCCGCAAAGCACTGTTCTTGATGATCCTCCAAAGCCCAGAAGCCAAGGGCTCTGGTCTTCTACCTTTGTCATGGCCTTGCTGAGAACCTCTTAACCCTGCATCCTTTATAGGCAGAAAAGAACATTGTCCTAGAAGAAAAGATCCAAGTTCTCCAGCAGCAGAATGAAGACCTCAAAGCAAGGATTGACCAGAACACCGTTGTCACAAGGTAGGTGGGCCTGGGTAAGCTTAACGAGGCACATGTCACCTACAAAGTGGCTTTGCTCTTGAGCTCGTTGGAGGGCTCTGTTTTGGTTCCAGCATCCACTTTATCTCATTCCTCTGAGCTGTGAGGCTTCCTCACAGGCTCTTGGCATGTCACATAGGGAAAGAAGAATAAAACATGCCATGGGGACCACAGAGCCTGTCTGCTGGCTCTGCATATCAGTGGTCCCCCCCTTGGGGGAAATGAGTGAAACTGGCAGAAGTGCAAAGCAGAGGTCTCCAGTACAGCTGGGAGATGGAGGGGGTTATTTCTGGGGAGTTTGGAGAGGGCCACCTGCTGGGTATTCCCAGGCGAAAGAGAAAAACCACGTGAGCACCATTAGCTCCCCGGCGGAGAGCCAGGTAGGGCCCTCCGCTGCCGAGCTGTGGTCCTGGGCCAGCCTGGCCATGGCAGTGGGAAAGGTGCGGGGTGACCAAGCCAGTGAAGCCACGCAGCCGAATTCAGCTGCTCTGAGTAACACCGTTCCCATCTCTGTCCCCTGCTCTGTGATGCTCCAACCTTCAAAGAAGGATGCAGTGGTCCTCCACTCTGCTATCAGAGTGGAGTAAAGCAGGGTTTGGGCTGGATCAGCCAGCTGGAGCTTACAGGCGGGCCTCGGAGCTACTGTGGTTTCGGTTCCAGACCACCGCAATAAAGCAAGTGTCACAGTGAAGCAATCCAATGAATTTTGCCCAAATGAATGGTTTCCCAGTACATCTAAAAGTCACGTTTACACTATCCTATAGTCTACTAAGTGTGAAATGCCATTATGTCTAAAAAAGCGATGTACATACCTTAATTTAAAAATACTTTATTGCTAGGGGTGCCTGGGTAGCTCAGTCGGTTAAGCATCTGCCTTCGGCTCAGGTCATGACCCCAAGGTCCCGGGATCGAGTCCTGCATTAGGCTCCATGCTCAGCGTGGAGCCCGCTTCTCCCTCTGCTTGCTGCTCTCCCTGCTTGTGCTTTCCTTCTCTCTCTCTCTCTCTCTCTGACAAATATATAAAATCTTTAAAAAAGTAAAAATACTTTATTGCTGAAAAATGCAAACCATCATCTAAACTTTCAGCGAGTCGTAATCTTTTTGCCGGTGGAGGGTCTTGGCTCATTGTCGATGGCTGCTGACTGATCAGATTGGGGGTTGCTGAAGGCTGGAGAAGTCTGTGCCAGTTTCTTAAAACAACAATGACGTTTGCCCCATCGATTGACTCTTCCTTTCATGAACTATTTCTCCAAAGTGTGTGATGCTGTTTGATAGCATTTCATCCACAGTCGAACTTCTTTCAAAACTGGAGTCAGTCCTCTCAAACCCTGCTACTGCTTTATCAGCTAAGTTGATGTCATATTCTAAATCCTTTGTGGTCATTTCAATAGTCTTCATGGTGTCTTCACCAGCAGAATCCATCTCAAGAATCCACTTTCTTGGCTCATCCATGAGAAGCAGCTCCTCAACCGTTTAAGTTGGATCATTGGATTGCAGCAATGCGGTCCCATCTTCAGGGCCCACTTCTAGTCCAGTTCTTTTGCTGTTTCCACCACCTCTGCAGTGACTGCCCCCACTGATGTCCTGAACCCCTCCAAGTCCTCCGTGAGGGTGGGAACCAACCTCTCCCAAACTCCTGTGAATGTGGAGACTTTGACCTCTTCCCATGAATTATGAATGTTCTTAATGGCATCTAGAGTGGTGAATTCTTTCCAGAAGGTTTTCAATTGTCCAGCTCCATCAGAGGAATCACTCTCTATGGCGGCTATAGGCTTACAAAATGTGTTTCTTAGAGAATAAGACTTGGAAGTCAAGATGACTCCGTGATCCAGGGGCTGCAGAATGGATGCTCTGTCAGCAGGCATGAAAACAACATTCATCTGGTCCGTCTCCGTCAGAGCTCCTGAAGGACCAGGTGCATGGTCAGTGCACAGTAATATTTAGATAGGAATCGTTTTTCTCAGCAGCAGGTCTCAACAGTGGGCTTCCAATATTCGGTGAACCATGTTGTAAACAGACATGCTGTCATCCGGGCTCTGTCGTTCCACGTACAGAGCACAGGCAGAGTAGGCTGAGCATCGTTCTGAAGGGCCCGAGGATTTCCAGAACGGTCAGCGAGCACTGGCTTCAACTGAGGTCACCAGCTGCGTTAGCCCCTGACAGGACAGTCAGCCTGGCCTTTGAAGCTCTGAAGCCGGGTCCTGACTTCTCCTCTGGAGCTCTGAAAGTCCTCGATGGCATCTTCTTCCAGTAGAAGGCTGTCTTGTCTACACTGAAAACCTGCTGTCGAGTGTAGCCACCTTCATTGCTATCGTAGCTGGACCTTCTGGAGAACTTGCTGCAGCTTCTCCACCAGCCCTCGCGGCTTCACCTTGCGCTTTCTGTTGTGGAGCTGGCTTCTTTCCTCCAACCTCATGAACCAACCTCTGCCAGCTTCAGACTTTCCTTCTGCAGCCTCCTCACCTCTCTCAGCCCTCAGAATTACAGAGAGCTAGCTAGGACCTAGCTCTGGATTAGGCTTCGGCTTAAGGGCATGCTGGGGCTGGTTTGCTCTTCTCTCCAGACCACTCGAACTTTCTCCACCTCAGCAGTAAGGCTGTTTCTCTTTCTTATCATTCATGTGTTCCCTGGAGCGGCACTTTTAATGTCCTCGAAGAACCTTTCCTTCGCATTCCCAGCTTGGCTGTCAGCCCATCAAGGCTTCACCATGACTTTCTCACTAAGCTCTGGTTAAGAGTGGGAGGTGTGCAACTCTCCCTTTCATTTGAACACTTAGAGGCCACCGTAGGGTTATTCACTGGTCTGACTTCAATATTGTTGTGTCTCAGGAAATAGGGAGACACCCAAGGAGAGGGAGAGCGATGGGGGAATGGCTGGTCGACAGAGCGGTCAGAACACACACAACATTAATTGGTTAAGTTTGCGATCTCACACGGGCACGGTCTGTGGTACCCCAAAACAATTACAATAGCGACATCAAAGATCACCGATCACAGATCAGCATAACAAATATAATAATAATGAAAAAGCTTGAAATACTGCAAAAATTAGCAGACTGTGACGCAGAGACGTGACGTGAGCAAAGGCCGTTGGAAATGTGGCGTTCGAGGGCTGCCACAAACCTTCAACTTAGAAAAGACACAATACCTGCCAAGTGCAGCCAAGTGAAGCATAATACAATGAGGCGTGCCTGCATTTCATCCAGGAGGACAGAGCCCTCTCCGTGAGACCCGCGCCTGCGCCCTGGCCCACTACTCAGCTGTACTCCTGTTGGATCTGCCTGTGTCACCCTGTGATGCACACACTTGTGCACACACGCACACTCACATGCATACTTGTGCTTCCTGTCACACATGTGCCCATTCGTGTGCCCGCTCCCAGACTTGCAGTCACGCTCCCTCGAATGCACGCACACTCTTGCGTGCAGCCCCCTCCCAGGTCACACGCATGTACTTGCACACATTCACACACATTGCCTCCGCAACTGAACTCGGGGTGCCGCAGTTCGTTCCCACCCCAGAGGCTCACAGGAGAGCCTGTGCGGGGGCAGTAGGTCCGTCACGCCCCTCCCCCAGGGGGAGCTGGAGCCTCTGCTCAACCTGAGCCACTGCACGTCCCCGGGAAATCACAAAGGCACCCTGATCCAAAGAGCAAGTCCAGGCTTTATCCAAGTGAGCTGGCTTCCCGGGCTAGGTCCATCCAGCTACAAAATGCAACAAAGCGAGCAACTCACACTTCCTGACAGACGGCACAGGATGCCTTGATTCATTTTTCATTTAGCATCCCTTCTCAACAAACATTAACCGAGCATCTGTTATGTGCCAGACACCAGGCTGGATGCTGAGGATTCAAAGAAGGCTCTGGTCCGTGTCCCCGAGGGCTCTCCGACCAGCCGGCGGGCAGATGCACAGATCAGCATTTGCAGCAGGGGAAGGCAGTTGCTACCACGGAGCCCCGAGCCAGGGGCAGGGAGGCCCGGAGGGTCCTTTGGCTGACGGCACTGTCCCTGTGCTGTCCTTAGTGTTGGTCGCCACTCTCTCTGAGCCTCCTGGGCGGCACACCCACCCCAGCTCTCCACTTCCCCCCTTTCCTCTTCTGCCTTCAGCATTTGCTCTGTCCAGTGGACAACTAGCGCCTCCCCTGACCGGGCAGAGGGACTGGGAGATGAATGGGGACGGATGTGTCCGTGGGACAAGTGGAAATCACGTTTCAGCCCATGGCTCTTGGTCACCGTGGTCCCACTTGTCCCTGTCCTCCCGCAGGCGCAACCGCCTCCTCCCGTGCCCCAAGCCCACGGGCAGGGTGGATCTCACGTTCAGGGCCTCCCCGCAGGATTGCTGACTGTTTCTTGTTCTCCTCATGCAGACAACTGTCGGAGGAAAATGCTAATCTGCAGGAATATGTCGAGAAAGAAACCCAGGAGAAGAAGAGATTGAGCCGAACCAACGAAGAGCTGCTTTGGAAGCTCCAAACTGGGGACCCAACCAGCCCGGTTAAACTCTCCCCCACGTCCCCTGTTTACCGCGGCTCCTCCTCGGGGCCCTCCTCTCCCGCCAGAGTCAGCACAACGCCCAGATGACGCCGCACCACGCAGCCTGCGGGAGCCCTGGCTCCCGTCCACGTCCACCCGGTGGTTCCACCCGGAGGCAGTCAGGACCGGGGGCCGGCCCGCGGCCGGCCCTGCGCGCATGCCCAGTAGCTGCCTAGCTGCATCCTAAGCAAAGTCCTCTTCTGATCCTCACATAAGACTGTCCCGGTGTTGCACTTAGGAAAGTGTAAACGGTAGTGTCTGATGTGCAAACGTTTGACCGTAGGTAGAGCCAAAAGAAAGAAAGAAACTCCAACTGTTCTTGAGCAATGAACTTTCACTGCAGAATTTCAGGTTAGTTACAAGTAGCTCAGTTTTGAATATACATTGAATAATCATTGTGTACTGCACCGATATGTGTGTATATTTAGATACACGTATATACACATGCAGTGGTTCTGAATTGCATTTTTTATAACATGAAGTGCTGACATATTTTGGTGAAGGTCAGCAGTTTTCTAACTTGTGCCTAAGAATTATTGGGATATGAAAATGCATTTCTATCTAGCTTCCCAGGAATATTTCTACCCAAAATAGAAAAAGGAAAAAAAAAAAAGATACAGAGAAGAAGCGCCTTTCAACCTACCACCAAGTGGTACTCTAACACAAACACCAGCGATTTGTGAACGGTAACTGCCTTTGGAACAGTCAGCTTCTTAGTCAACATGATGTGAGGTCACTATTATTCCATTCGCAAGTTTTAATTATTAATACTCCTGTCGTGAGTGCCTAAGGGATAGCAGTGGGCAACCCTGAGGGGTTTAGCAGTTTTGCAGATGATACTCATGACAGTGAATCATCTACAGTCTTGTAAACACAAGTTTTGCTTTTTTTCCTAAGTGGCATCTTGGAATCCGTCATTAAGCTACTGCACCCTCGGGAAAATACGGAGGAGCATGACCTTCTGGAGTGAGGGTGAGGATGACCTTGGAGTTGGCCAAGACCATCCGCGCTCCGTCCTCCAGAAGGCAAATTGCTGATAGGATCTGTATTTTGACGGAGCAGAGTAGGAAAATGTCCTCTGGCAGCCCCATGTGGTGTGCTCTGATGCAATTCTCTAAATGGTCAACCCACCAAAAGATGACCCGCAGGCCCCCATTTCATAGGCAACCAACCTCCCAGCAGTTTGGTTCTATAACTCAGCCCCATCACTGCACACTGAGATGGCTCAGGGGTTCTAGCAGGGGCTTCCAGAATGCCGACTCTTCCATCCTGGGGGATCCGTTCCAAGCTGTGCTCAACCATCACATGGCCTCCCACAAAAGCCAGGCGTATTTTCTGCCCGATGACCAAGCTGTCCCACAGCCACCAGCGGTCCCTTCTTAGGCCCAGGAGGTTCTTCCCGATGGAAGAGCCCTACGGAACGGCCAGCCAGCGGTCCCTGGCTCCTGGACTGGCATTTGTCTCGGCAACGGTAGACGTAGAATGTGAACGAACGCTCCCCCCGTAGTGCTGTGGAACGGTAGGAGCATGACACACAAACAAAGACGTAGTTTTAACAGTTGATACGGTGACATTAATGATGCCTTTGTTTCCTGTTTGTGACAAAGGCCCTGCACTTTCTGCCGACGGCCCCTCAGAATGGTCCTGAGCACAGGGCTGCCTCCGAGCCGGCCCGAGGCAAGCAGACTCATGCAGGGATGCTCCGTGCGCCAGAGCCACGGAGCCAGGAGGAAATGGCCCGCAGAAGGGGCCACCTTGCCCGGGGCCCTGCCTGCTCGCCACACGTGCAGCCGGCCCGAAGACAGGCCTGGTCTGTGCTCCTTGTGGGAGTCAAGGTTGGGCTTGTCGGCCTCAGGGACATCTCACTTCTAGCAAACCTCCAAGGGTCTTTGCCCATCCTCGGGACATACACAGTAGATCCCCATTGAAGAAACATGTCTTTTTTCCTTTAGCGGCTCTGCATGATGTTGTGATATTGAGTTGGGCATTCCATTAGAGTAGATCATGCCACGTTGACTAAATACACAATTATTTATTCTATTAGCAGGCACCACCTGCAAAAACGGTCGTTCGGCGGTAGCTCGGCTCCGCCCGTTAGGAACCGCTTCCATAAGGACACCTGCTAAATGCGTTACACAGCAATACAGATGTCAGTGTTACGTTAGAATGTGCTACAGTGTGTTAGCCTATTGCAGTCAAAGTCGTAGTGATGTTAGAACTAAGTAACCCCTCGCTAGGTGGACTAAAGCTTTGCCCTCACCAGCCCTGCCCTTGGGTACTTGAGCTAATTCCCACATTGCCCTGGCTTCGTTCCTTCGTCATGGACACCCACCACGTGTTGCTCCTATCCTGAAACGTGGGGGATGGCAGCCGCTGTGCCCCCTCCTCACCCCCCCCCCATTAGGACCTGGACCTCTCTGGACGTGGATGTCTCCCGGTCATCCACCTCCCGGGCTGGAGTGGTTCCCACATACCAATGCTACAGCCTCCCCACCTGCCTTGGACCCGCCAAACCTCACCAGCCTCTTCCTGGTGTTTGGGAGACATGTCTGAGCCCCGCACGCACCCCGGCCCACCACACGCTGGATGAGGTTCTGGGTGGGGGGGAGTGGGGTGTCCGGGGACGGGAGGGGGCTGCTGGGCTGTTGGCACACTTGGTGATTATTTGAATGGGGTCACACATTATTTATCTGGCCCCTACAGTTTCTGTGTTGCATATTTGTGTTTGAAGCATATTAAAATGAACTTGAGGGACCTTCTGTGATATGCACTTGATGTACCTGTCAGCCTGGCCCTCTCAGGCTTCAGGAAACGGAGGCTGGGGATCCAAGGCAGGGAGCAGGGAGGTGGGCTAGAGTCAGTTGGAAAAGGACACAAAAGACTGAGTACGGTCCCCTCACCACTGATTTTAAATTCAGACCTGAACAGGTGTATGTTTCCACCCCAAAGAGAGCTTGGTGTGTCCTAAATCCCATCAGTTTTATCTGGATCATCACAGACCTTTCTCTCGAGTGACAATGGCCACCATCATGCAGTTCCTTATCACGAGCCTTTTCCCCCAACCAGGGGGCTGGGGGACAGGGTGGGGGAACACAGGACCCTGGAGAGCTCTGTAGCTCTCCCTATAACACCCCCAAGTGCAGCCGGGACACCCGTTTCTACCTGAAAGCACTTGCCCCCACCCCTCACCTGCCTCAGGTTGGCCAGGCCGACCCTGCAGTGTCCACATGGGCCTGCCCCTTCCTGGGGTCACAGGGAGCCCCCCGGGTCGGCCAGCTCCCCGTGGTGGTTTTGCAGGGCATGTGGGAGTGGCAGCTACCTGAGAGACCCCAGCAAGCCTGCCCTCCGGGACAGCTGCCGAGCAAGAGACCTCTTGCAGGGGATAAATCAGGAGTCACTTCAGGACGTGAGAGGAACACCACAGTCCCCCTCTGAATCACCCACACCTCCAGATCATTGATGATGACTACTTATTGATTAATGATCTTAATCCTCGTCAACCTGTCCCAAACTGTTGTTTCTTTCGGGGGGGGGGTGTCTTGTGCCCTCCACTTCTATGACAACCACTTCCCCATTGTCCTTCCCCCTCCACATGAGGTAAACAAGGCACCCGTCAGCACCTCCACTTCACAGAAGAGCAGGTTGGTGACTCGCCCGCTGGCACGTGTAGCAAAAGAGGTTAGTGCTGGCTTCCTCTGGTTTGCAGAGAACCGCGTCCCCTCCCGCAGGTAACTTGCAGCAGGCAGAGGAGATCTTTGAAGGCAACTCAGTCACCTCCTCTGTGCCAAGGACCCTGGTACAGCCCACCACCCCATCGCATCTAGAAGGGAGTAGTGGAGGAGGTAAGCACAGGTAGAAACCTCCAAGCTGGATACTTCCCGCCTGCTACTGGAGTTGAAAGCTGGTCTCATGGCTGGTGCCGCATCATGCAACATCAATGTCCGGCCATCAAGCCACGACTCGGGCACCACACCCTGTCATTGCATCTGTGGTCCTCAAGAGTCAGAATTCTGCCCACTGGAGAGTTTGCGCCACAAGATTTAAAAAAACAAAAACACCGCCAAAGGCTAGTAGGCTGTCCTGGTTGTTAAGCCAAAGGGAGTTCATTCACTTAAGTTTGCTAACAGGGCGCTTCTCTTAAACATCCTGGAACAAAAACCTGGGGTTTCTGAGCACCCAGCTCAGTTCTTCCCCCTCAGCACGGAGGGAAGACGCGCTCAGGAGGGACAGGCTCGTTTGCCTCACTGGCACATCTCCGAGTTTTGCCAGTGCCAGCACCAAGCGGGGATCGGATGGTGTGCAGCCATAAGCGGGGACCACCCTGCTGCATGTGACCAAGGGCCCTGCCTGGTGCTCTGCGCCTCCTGCCCAGGGCAGCAGGCCGGCGGCACCCACTCCCAGAGCCCCGAGCAAGCCGTCCCTGCACAGTGGCTGCTGTCTGCAGAGGGCTTTCTTGTTTTAACGGCACCCGAATGAATGTGGCGGGGCCGAGTTGCGGTCCCCCCTCCCCTGCCACACTGTAGAGCGCAGGCACTCAGTAACCTCATTGTTTCAAGGAGCAAAAACTCAAAGCATCCATGGGAAAGTCCAGCCTGCACAAGGTCTCTCTCCTGCAGCTCAGTCCCAAGCCACCGGGATTAGGTGCTGACCCAGCTGGCCGGAGAGCGGCCTTCATTAGTAACAGCGGTGCCTGTTTTATTCACCGGGCCTTTACTCACATTGCATTTTATTCAATAGCCGCCGTTTCTGGCTCAGGGGGCAGCCAGAGTTTGGTAAAATGAAACTGTTCCCTTTTGAAGAGGGGCGGACAGGGTTACCCACGGTTGACATCCCAACCCTCCTGGCTCTGTTTGGTGGTCGTGCAAGGCTGGGCTGCGAGAGGCCGCCGTTTCCCAGGTTGTAGCCTGGTGAGAAGCTGCGGAGGATTCCTAGGTGCTGCCGTTGCCAAGCTGTCTGGGGGCAGCTTTTGACTCCCCAGAAGTGTTTCATAACCAAATTGCGAGGGGAAGCTTGCTCCCGACTGGAATCGCGTGTCGGGGCTCAGGGTTCCCTAAGAAATGGCTGAGACGAGGCTGGGGGCGCTCCTCGGGCTGCCCGCCCCGCGCCGTGCCGGCCGCTAGGTGGCGCTGCGGCGCCGCGGGAACGAGCTCCGCCTCGTGCTGGAGGTGGGCTCTTAGCGCACGCGCTCGGGCGGCCGCGACCTGCCCGCGTGGTCCCTCGCCGCGGCCCACACCCCCGCGCTGGGCTCCCCGGCGCCGGCAAGCTGTCCGCAGAGCCTCTAACGGGGAGATCGCTCGCGGGGGTCCGCCTGGGGGGGGCGACAGGGCGGCCTCCTGCCAGCCCGCGGCCCCGGCCTCACGGCACAGCCCGGCTGCGGAGCGGGGAGGCTGCGCAGTCCAAGCTCTGTGGCGGCCTGGGGTTCCGAGGGGCGGACGGTGAGGTGGGGCGCGGCTTGCGGACAGAGTCTCCTCCTGTACACCTGGTGTGAAGCCGGCCGCAGCGCCCCTGCCCTGCTCTCCTAGGGCCGGGGTGTCCGCTGAGAACACGCCCAGGTTGGGCCTTGTCTTCGAGGGCAACACACTTCCCAGTGTGGTCACCGAATCACTGCTTGGTAGCATCTGAGAGTTAAGACCACTGGACTGAGTCTGCCTCCTCTGCAAGAAAACGCTTCCTTCCTCAGGGGGGAAATGGGGGAGAGAGGCAATTACTGGGACAGCTACAATCCTCCCCGACAGACAGACGGGGCGCGTGGAGGAAGTGCAGGGCTAAGGGGCGCCTGGTGCGAGGCGGTTTGGCTGCCCGGGCACCCAAGTGCTTTGGCAGATGAGCAGCTCTATGCCCTCGGCTAGCAGCAACCTGGGTGCGAAGACGTCCCCGCTCAAACCCAAGCCAAGTCTGGAAGAAGTGTGTGTGGGGGGGGGGGAGATAGCATGAGAGGATCCTAAGTGAGGGCTGGGGGATTCCCTGGTTGAGGTGCTAGTCCTTGGAATGAGCATTTGCACCAAATGGCTGAAGGAAAATGAGACATTACAACATCCGGCTGTGGGGAAATGGGGATACTGAAGAAGCAAAGGGCGGGATCTGGAACGCTCTGTGGGGCACTGCCAAGCTTGGGGACCCCGCCGAGAGCTGCTGCAATTCTTGAGATCACACTGTGCATGCTGAAGCCATAGACAGAATTTATTAGAGTCTGCAGAAGCATGAGATAATGTACCACAAAATAATTTGATTTTACAACATATAGTAGGAATTTGTCAACATACAGTGTTGTCAGCAAAAATGGGATACAGAGCAGAGTTTCACATTTTTTAAAGGCGATGGACATCTATGCTTGTCCTTCAGATAAAAACAGGAGGGGCCAGCAGAGACAGCTTGGTTTGCAGTGGGCATCAGAATCTAAATCTAGTATCACAATTATAAGAAACTATAAGAAAACTATTAGAAAAATAGAACATCAAACAAGCAAAAAAATATTATACAATTTACATAATAAGAAACACAATTCTTTTAATAATGGCTCCATGTTCAGTAGAAGAAAAAGTTTGCTGGAGAAACCACAGCTATGCAGGTTTGATAATAAACCAGCCCTCATTGTGATCATCACCCTCTGTGCTTCTTAGACCCATTGACGCTGAAAGGCACAACTTAAGCGGGAAACTTTAAATATATATTACAATTTCTCAAATCGAAAATAAGTCCCAAACTTAAAAAAGTTTGTCATCGAGAAACACAAAATCATATACCTTGTTAATAAATTAACAAAGTCAAAGCGCATCTTCCTAGCCCTGCTTCCCGACCCTGCTCATACCCTGAGAAGATCAATTTGTTGGACTTCACAGCCAAGGTCTTTATCTCATGGGGGCGGTTTTCAGCCGGCAGTTCAACACACAGGGTCATCCGGGGGGGTTCCTTGATAACTGTGCCCTGAGACCCTTGGCCGGTCCGCGTCCCTCTCCAAAGAGCACTGCCACTCAATGAAGCAACGGGCACAAAAAGACTCTGGGTTATAGTGACGAGTATCAAAGTCAGTTGACTTTTTCTTTTGCCATAAAAACCCATCAGGCATCATAACTATGATGATGAAATACGGAGTGCAGCTTCTTGCACCACTGGATCAATAAAGCATTTCATTACCAAAAAAAGTCCACAAGAGTCTGACAAAATGTAGATCTCATTCTCCCTGAGGAGCCTTACATACAATACTCTCATTATGATGTCAAACATATATCTTAAATTATACGTAACAACCACACGTAACATACATTTGGTTCCACCCGCCGGGAACTCTGTAACAGTCCCACACACGAGCACACGGGCATCGCACACCTATGGCCGGCAGAGCGTGGCCGTGCCCGCAGACGGCCCCATCCACGCTAGAACACATCGGTGATGGGGCCTGGCACCAAGGCGCCTCACTCCCGTCTTCGTGGGGATGGCTCTCGGGGGCCGACACAACGATCAGCTCTTATGAGAATGTGTGAAAGTGAGACACGCAGAGCAGAAGACGGGCCCGGCACAGCGCGAGCAGGTACCCGCGCCCGGCGCGCCCCCGCGATGCCCGTGAGCCCGCCTGCACTCTGGCTGGGGGCCTTTCTGAGGCATGTCCACACTCACCCAGGGAGCCCAGCCTCTGACCCTGTCCTCCAGGCTGTGTCTGGCGTCAGGCTAGAGGCCATCCCGCGCAGACTACGGAACTCACTCGGCTCTGAACACCTGCTCGGTGGCGGGAGGACAGTGTATAACCCAGTTCGTGCCCGCTGCCATCCAGGAAGCCCGACAGGCGAGGGCCAGGGGCCTCAAGCAGGTGCACGCACAGGCCGCGCCGGAAGTGCAGAAGGGGGTGCGCCGGAGCCTCAGGAGCTCGGGGTGGGGGCAGGCCCCAGAGTGCAACTCGACAGGTGGGAGGCCTGTGACAGCCGAACCGCAGCACCAGCACCCGGGACCAGAAGGCTGATCTCTTGATAGAGATGACTCAGTGGAACAAAACCCAAGTGGGGGGGCTGCAGGGAGGGGGTTCTGACAACAGTGTCGATTTGGAGTCTTTCCAAAACACCCTAGGAAAGATGGCCCTATCCACTCCTACTGGTTTGGAAAAACAAATCGGGCCCCAAGTTGGGCGGAAGGGGTGTGAGCCAGTGGGGTGGGGTGATGGGGGTGCAGAGGCCCAATCTCCTGCCCCAGGCGCCCCTCCTGGAAGCAGGCTCAGCCTCACTGGCCCAGGGGGCCTGACTGCTTCTCTGGAGACCCCTCACACCCCTCACTCTTCAGCAGAGCTCCTGGGGCTCCACTGCTGGCGTCTTTGTGAGTCTTCACGGGGTCAAAAAAACATGCAGGGCGGGGGGCACTACAGGAGGCAGGAAAGGGTGCTTACTTGACACAAATGGGTCTTTCCAATGTGGGTATTTGGGGCTGGGCCACAGATAAAAGCAGACACAACATTTCCAAAGGGCATGTCTCTAGAAGTGTGGAATTTCTGATGATTTAGGAAAATACTGGCCAAGCCATGAAACTGAGAATCATATTCTTGCTTGGGGGGTTTGGAGGCCAATTGTTGGGCACTCCTGGTGGTTATTTCTTGCCTGTGTGTATATGCGTGTGTGTGTGTGTGTGTGTTTATTTCTGGGGAAGGAATGAAGGATGGGATAAGCAAAAGCCTCTCAACACCATTCCTTACATCACCATCCTTGTAAACAGAAGAGAAAAACCCCTGGCAACCACACAAAAGTTAGTCTCAATAAAAGCACAGGGACCGTGAGAACGATTTCTCTGTGGCACCTTCAGGTGTCCTTTTCTAAATGGGAGGCTCCTCCCCCTCACAGGGGAGGGGGCAGGGGCTTCTCACTCCTGAGCTGGTGAGCCTTCTGGAGGCACTTCCCACTTTGGGGTGAGGAAGGAGGACCCTCACGTGCCAGGAGTTTCTCATTCCATGGGATGGTCTCAGGGAAACACACCTTGTCAGCTGGTAGAAGGATGCATGTTGCCAGCTGAAATGTCAACTGTATCCACAGTCTGTTGCATGCTGTCTTGCACAGATATTTCAGCCAGAAAAAGAAATTAAAGTAAAAAAAAAAAAAAAAATCTCTCTCCCCTACACTTTTGTCAGATATTCTCTTTCCCTCAAGTTCTCTTTGCCTATGTGGGAAAATAACAGACAAATCAAGCAAACAAATAGCTAACAAACCCTAAGAACACAGCAGACAACCAAAACCCCAACAAAATAAGTTAATATTTATCAAAATATTGTACAGCACCAATCTACATAAATTTAAATACCTTTCTTTGGAAACCCACGCTTTGAGCTCTTATGTTCCTCCCTCTGTAACATTCACAAATGATATTTAGAATAAAGCTTCCAGGCAGGTGATCAGGGTCTGTGGCAGAGGCCAAGCCCTTGGCCACTCGCCCACCAGCCCTCCACTGACCGACCCTGCCGTTCGGCATTTCCACAAATTCTTGTAATTCTCTCTGAACCTACTGAGGGAGATCAGACAAGTGCCATCAGTTTACCAGGCTTCTTTCTACCAGATTTGTGTCAAAGGCCGGAGGGGGATGAAATGGGAGTCTGAGCTTCAAAAGCAGCATTTACATTTTCTGGGATGTCTACATGCCTTCCTCCCTCCCCTCCCATATACGCGGGGCCCTTCCATCTCCCAAGTCACACTCTCATCAGAAGGAAGACTGCATCAGCGTTCTTGTTTCCTCGGGCTCCTCTCTGCAGAGCGGGTGTGAGTGTGGGGTGCTGCAGGGCCCGGGGGCGGGGGGCAGGGACCGTGCGTGCTGCGTGCGGGCACCCCAGCAGGCTCTCTGAGTTACGGAGGCGGGAGGTCCGGGGCCGGGTTACGAACCCAGACACAAACCCACAACGTTTGGACAACACATACATGACAGGGACAGCAATATGACCTCAAGTTCTCATGTGTGGACCCCGTGCTCTCAACAATACACCGAGGAGATATTTGGCCATTTTCCAAGTTAACACTAAGCGCCAACTTAATTTGGAGTGATTCACAGATGCTAATGGGAGGACTCAGTTCGATTCTATCTAAGAGGAGGGCCAAACAGACCAAACAGATCATGTCGGGGGCCAGAAGCAGCTGGGGGGCTGGCACCATCACTTCAGAATGAGCAGACACCTGCCTTGAGAACCTTACAAGAGTCAAGACGCTGACCCGCAAGCATCAGAGGGCAGGATTTAGTGACTGGCAAAGACCCATAGAAAACAGTGTTCTAAGCTCTGCTAATCTAAGGCCAGTCCCACATGAATGCAGTGCCATGCTCCAGTTACTCGGGACACACAGCCGTTGGTGCGAGATACCAGAAGCAGCCAGAACCGGCCCAGGCCTGGAGAGAGAGAGTGCAGGTGAGGGAGGTCCCCGCGCTCAGGGGCGAGGGGTGGAGGCGGCCCTCCTGCCTTGTCCCCACAGTGGCGCTCCCTTCTTCGTCAGTGACGGAAACGCCTGCCCTCAGTACTGCCGCTGGGGTGTGCGCGGTTCTGTCCGGTGTCAGAGCAAAACCCCTGCCTGGAAGGGGAAGGAGGGGAGAGCTCACAGTCCTCACAACCTCTTCGGGAAGCAACCCAGAGAAAAGGAGCGGGAGAAGGAAACCAGTCTTGCTCTTCCTTTTTAAAGTAAACTGCTGTCCTTTGGCTCTGGGACATACGTTTTGGAGTACTCCCCTTGCCTCTACGGTTGGCCTTTGGGGCTGAGTGGGGAGATAGCTACTGAGAGTCTGGAGTGTGCACATTTTCAATACCAGGATGGTCCCCGGGGAGGGAGGCCCGATTCCCCAAGGTGACAAGAAACGGTGACCTCCATCCTGCCTGAGGACCCAGCAGCATGGGCATGGAGCTGGTGGGGCGGGGACTGCTTTCTGTGTTCAGAGGGCTGTTAGGAGCCACAGTGGCCAGCTGCAGCCAAGTGGCCTCCCGCCAGGGAGCTGTCCAAGGTGACGGGCCGCCGTGCACCTGCCGCAGAGCGAGTCTAGGCAGGACACACGGGCTGTGGGCTGAGGCTGCATTTCAAGTAGCTGCACCTTCTGCTGCGTGGGGGCTTTGTAGATGTGGGTGGGTCCTGATGCACTGGTGGAGAGAGTGAGGTGCTCCAGGACCTTTGCGGGCATCCCTCAGGGCTGCTGCCACCTCTGGGGGCCGGGCTGCGTGTCACTTGCAATGGTCCAAATTGCCATCAGGAGTCCTTGCTTGGTCGGCGGCCAGGGACGCCTCCTCGCTGTGCCACAAACCATAGCCAAAGTAGATGATGAAGCCTGTAGGCCGAGAGCAGAGAGCACGTGTGAACACAGCAGGCAGAGCAGGCCTGGGTCCGTCGCGTGGCTCCCAGGAAAGCCTCTCCATGCTGCCTGTCCCGGGCCTGAACCCAGCGCAAGCAGCCCTCGTGGGCCAACTTTCCAAAGCATTGGGAGAAACCACATGACTTTTCAACTACAATCAGCAGGAGTGGTCATCTCGCCTCTTCAAGATGCGGGGCGGGCACACTCCCTTCTGGAGAGCCTCCCACTGGGCCGGTTCCTGAGCTGCACACTGAGCAGCCAGACTGGGGACCCCGGGAGAGGTGCTGCTCCCACAGCTTCAGCCACTGACCACCTGGTTGGTGCCCCGTGGCCACTGGTGGGGTCGTCCAGTTCCCTGCCAGGGTGGGATTTCCAATGGGCACCACGGCTCCCCAGGCTATTCGCAAGGCCTCCGGAGTCCCCACCATCTCTGTTTTCTCTACATATGTGACTGTCAGACGGGGAGGCAGCACTAGAGTTGCCTGCAAGTGTGTATGACCCAGGAGTTCAGTCCGTTCCAGGGTCCGGGACTTCAGAGGTCTGTGGTGGGGCACAGAGATCTGAGCTTCGAACCACCCACTCAAGGACTACAGCCCATGTGGCCTTGCGGCCACCCTCGTGCCAGAGGCACAAGGAGCGCGGGCCTCAAAGGAAGGGCTCAGCCACCAAAAGCCCTGGAAATAAGCTCACGGCTTGGAGCCCAGGAGCTCACATCTGGGACGCTTAGAAGCAGGTGTCGTCCACCTCCAGCAGGGAATGAGCACCTCACCCCTGTCTGGAGCAGTGTATACCGATCACACACCACTGCACGCGCTGAGCCAACTCTCTCACAGAAAGGCTCTGCAGGGGATGTCTGTCAAACCAGCCTCAGGCCACACTTTGCAGACAACGGGGGGCCTGCAGAGAAGGATCTCGAGGCGGCAGCTATCTGCCCCCAAGGATGGCGACCCAGGGCTGAGGGCTTCGGCAGAAACACAGTCCTGGGGTTACAGCTCTTGTCAGCGACACTGAGGGGTGAGGGGCAAGGCCCGCTCCCTGGTCATCAGCACTGAGGAAGGAGCCCGAGTCCACTTCCTGCAATTCTTAGGGTTGGATACCCAGGGAGGGGACGGGCCATGGGGAGCCTACAAAAGGACGAGCACCCAAACGGTGACCCCCTAACCTCCCACATGGGCCAGTGGGCAGGTGCTGGCTGGGCGGGGGAGGCACGGCCCAGGCTTTCCCCTGTGGGGGGAGATGAACTGGTGCTTGGTCAACAGCAGACTCATCGCCTCACTCTCATTACCTTCAACTCTAGCAATGACATAACTAGTTCAGACAAGAGCTATTAAAATAAAAGTATCTTAAAGGGAGGGGGGACCCACGATCTACTAGGAGCTCCTTATTGAGAAACTGCGGACTACATGTGTTTTCATTACGTTTTGAGGTTGGAAAAGAGGCTCGGCATCCAGCGAAGTTGCAGGAAAGACAAATGAGCTGCATGGAGCAGGCTCGGGGACTGGGGGGGAGGGGCCTCCGAGAGACATCATCCCAGTGAAACCCATGACTTCACGTACCTATCAGCATCCACACTGCAAAGCGGACCCACGTGCCTTGGTCCAGCTGCATCATGAGATAGACGTTCACAAAGATGCTCAGGACGGGAAGGAGCGGCAGGAAGGGTACCTGCAAAGACGGCGGGTGGTGGGTCAAGTCTGCAGGGATGGAGCGCGGGGGGACGGCGCCTTTGAGCCATCCAGCAAAAACCACCTCGGAAAAGCCCCCACCCGAGATTCAGATGGACTGCGCTATTTATACAGGGAGGAGAAAGTGAGTGCACCCCAACCCACATACATACACAGCCGCACACCCACGCGGGCAAACCCTAATAGGTGGGCGTTTGGTTCTAAGCTACCAAGTGCCAAAGTGAGCTCTACTCTGATTTTCCCCTCTTGCTATTTTCCTGTTAAAGAAGGGGCTAGAAGAGGGACTTCCCCTTTGTCTCCAACAGTGAACTGCTTCATTACTTGTGAATCTAAAATGCACACGCCTCGATCACCTCCAAGGCTTGGTAAGGCAATGCGCTGGACACGTATGCTGGCCGGACATGCATGAGCTGCCCCCGCAGTGAGCTGCGCCGGGACACCTGAGAGCCGGGGCGGGGAGGGGTGCCTTCTTCCAGGGTCGGGTCACCCCTCAGCAGGCACTGTCTGAGCCTCACGGTCCCGGAGGCTGGCCGGCAAGCCCCTCCCCTCCAGACAACCCGGCCTGGCAGGGCCCACACAGGGCGCAGGAGTGCCGGGGTTTGTGGCTCCTACCACAGGAACCTACCAGGAGGTTCCCTGCAGGCAGGGCTTCTCACCTTAAATGAAAGCTTAGTCTTGCTCTCAGGCTGCCTCCAGATGATGATTGTGACCAGAGAGCAGAGAAGGACAGATCCGGCAAGCATAAAGATGGCCCACAACTCCCCTTTTGTCAGAGCCTCATTTCCAAGCACGGCCACAATGCAGAAGGTGATGATAAGAATTGCTAAGGAGGAGGGAGGGAGAGAGGGGTGCAATTCAAATTTTTTTCAAATCCCCACAGATACCCTCAGTCTTCCCCAAAACCCGTGGAGAGGGAGGCTCCATTTCTGCCGCCATCAACTACCATAAGGGCAGAATAATTTACATCACAGTTCAGTAGCAAGACAGGTGCTTATCCCTTCCAGCATTTGCCTCCACCACCCTTGACAAGAAACCCTGCAACACCAACAAGCAGGACCCCCAAACCCCTTGCAGGGAAGGGCAGGCTCTTACCTATGAGGCTGGTTGAAATGTTCACAATTAGCCCGGAGAATTTGGAAGGCTCCATATTTTTGGGTGAGAGTATGGTTTTCAAAGAAAACCGTTCCGCTTCTGGTAAAAACCCTGTCTGGGAATCACTGGTGCTCACCAGTTCATTCTGGTCCACTTGATCGAGCTCGTCGGTAGTTCTGGCCATCTGGTATACCATGTTAGGTTGCTCTGGCTGATACCTATAAAGAAATGTATTGTATGACCATTATAATGTGCTTTCATTAGGCAAAAGGACACGTACTAACTCAAGTTCTTAGTAAGCTTTCGAAGGTAAGTTGCCCAGGACACAAGGCATAAAACGGGAAGAAGATGGTCAGACTGATGCATTCTCTGGCAAAGTAGATACAGAGGAGGAGACCTGAGTTCTCGCCTTCTTTCTGTTCCTGCTTCTGGGCGACACCCTCCTTGGGGTCTCTGCTTTGAGGCAACTTGACCTTCCCCATGAACCAGCCCAGAGAAATGTCCTAAGATGGTTTCTCTTGCTCTGAGAAGTAGCACTGCCCCTTGGATGCTTACAGTATTAGGCCACCCCCAACAAAACTACGGCTGAAGGGAGCTGAAAGTAGAAACAGAAATAGAGAGCAGTAACATTAGGATCCCATTTGGTGCCGAGAGCCAGAGAAATGTGTCTGCAGGCTGACGGATTTGAGAAATTCTGTTTGTGAGACTTAATTGGATCAATTCATTTTAAAACTCCAAATGCCTTAGAATAAATAACTTTACAGAGCTGGCTAAAGGACTGAGCCTGTGGCATGATTTCCAAGACATAAGCTTCCTGCAAGTAAAGCATTCATTTTAAACGAGGCTCCTTATCTTCCCACCCAAAATAAACAGAGCTCAAATCTTTTCTACCAGCTACCAAAAGCAGAGTGCTTTCGGAATTATTTTGCATATAATCTAAGAGTGAGCATAAAGATATTTAACCATTTTTTTTACTGATTGACTTATGTTAACACCATTTGGTCAATTACGAATGTGAGGGGAACCTCAGAAAAGATTCCAGTGTGGAGCCCTCAGGAAGGAATAAGTGGTCACAGAACTAGCAAACTTGTTTTAGCCGATGGTACAAAGCCACTAGGGAGGTTCAACCCAAGTTACATAGAGTAGGTGCTAAGCACATTCGAAACGGAACAAATGAAATAAATGACCTTGCCACAGTATAAATACCCGGAAAGAAGTAACAAGGCTCTTCCCAGGTGGCCACCACTGAGTCTCCATGACTCCGTATTCTCATGATAAATGCACCCTTGAGCCTTTCCTGGTAGTGAGGAAGCAGAGCCGTCCTTCCAGAGCAAAGGAAAATTGGAGCCCAGGGGCGTGCTTGGGGAGGGGGGCACTGGGGCAGCCGAGAACACCAGGACGCCCAGCCTAGGCCCCGAGCTGCTTTCTTATGGCCATCCAAGGGGCTAGCCTGGTCTCCACGAGGCTAAAACCGCCAGAGCCTGGGAAGTCTTACAGAACATCCACGTGGGCCACTCCATGCCACAACCGGGACTGACTCCTCCTGGCTGGTAGAGTGCGGTGCTGTTGCAGAAGCACCACACTACCCTAAGGTTCACACAACTGGAATTGTCCCAGTTCCCACCAGGACTAGTCCCTAGTCCCCTCCAACCTAAGAACGTGGACCAAACTGAAATCATTACCCGAAGCCTTCAAAAATTCTGTTCCCTGGACCAGGCCCAACAGGTGGGCTGAGAACCGGTCTCTCCCCTCCTAACATCCCGCCAAAAAAATGAGGGCACGTGATAGTGAGAGGGGAGCCCCCTGACTCTTTTCAATGATGTTCTCTGTGACTAGGCTCTCAACCACCAAATCCCACCCTCTCCAGGGCAGTTCTCAAAGGAACTAACTATCAACAACCTAAAATTTACACCGTATAAATCATTAACTCGAACCTTTAAAAGGCTAACAGGGTGCATCTCCGTTTCTATCATGGAACCCAGAAGAGCCATACATACCGTAAGACCAACACACAGGCAGCCACCAAAGAGTAAGCCAGGAGAGTGCCAATCGACATGAGGTCCACCAAGTCCTTCAGGTCAAAGAGAAAGGCCATCACAGCTAGGGAGGAGATAAGCATCAGGATCCAAGGATGGCCCATTATCACGGATAGCCAGAACCACCACCCACCCGTGATCCAGGGCACACAGCAGGAGCTGCTTTTTCTTGCTTCCTCACCCCAGCCCTTTCCATGGAAAGACATTGTGACATTGCTTAAAGGGAAGAAACGCTCAGGATTAAATCACATACACTGTTCTCAGCAGACAGTAATAATAATTAACATTTATATAGAGAGCACTTTCATCAGCATGACCTTTATTGATCCTCATGGCAACTTGGCAAGCTATCCCTACACTATGGATTGAGAAACTGAAGTCAGACATGCTGGGAGACTTATCTAAGGTCACACTGCTAGAAGTGGAATTCTCAACTAGGTTCTTGTGGCTCTGAGTCCAGCGTGTCTTCCTCTGCACCATGCAGACTCATACATAGTTAGGTCTATCTCTCCATCTACCCACACACCATCCATCCATCATCCATCCATCCATCCGTCCATCAATCCATCCTCTGTCCGTCCATCACCCATCACCTATCCATCTATTCGGCCATCCAACCAACCATCCATCCATCCATCCATCCATTCATCCATCATCTACCCACACATTCATTATCCATCTGGCACTCATTGAGAGTATGCCGGTCAGTGTAGACCATCAAAGATGTACACCACCGAACAGGGCAGACCAGATAGTCTCTGGCTTTCCTGAGTGTATCATCCAAGATAGGCATCAGTAGGCAACAGTGATGAGCAGGTGGATGAGGTCAAGTCCAGGCTCTGGGAGGACTCATGGGGACTCCTAACCCAGGCAGCTGAGCATGGAAAGCAGTGTTCTTTCCAAACAGTATCAGTACCTTTACCATGACCCCACTAAAAAAAATATACAACATGCATGCTTATGTGAAAATCTTTTGTAATTTTTGTGAGAGTATATATCTCTATTTACATGGGTACACATGTCAAGTTTCCCATTTAAAAAATAACTTGGATAGATCTACTTTGGGATATTTTCACCTCACATGCCATCAACACAAGTTAAAACAGAAACACAAAACCATTACTTTTCCACAAATATTTCTCAAGCCCCTATAGACTAACTCCAACTAAAACAAATTTCAATTGAGGGTAAATAACAGGATCAAAGAGCAATGCGGGGCCTTCTGGATAATTAGAATAGTATCTGACTGTGCATATGCCACAGATGCCTACGTTCCCACTCACACAGAACCTCAAGCCAAACTTTCCCCATGTGGGGTGATTTCAGAAAACCAAATACTTATTTACCACTCCTGCCAAATGAAAGGAAAGAGTAAATCCCTGGTTTGGTGAATGCATGTACTTTATAGTCACTTTAAAGATTATAGTTTGAGCTCCCTTGATCAGCACAGGAAGGGAATTAGAGTCGAGTCTTTAATATGATCAAATTACATGTAAATCCTGAAAGAACATTTACTATTTCCCATTCCTTAATCTCTTAAATATATTGGTCATATTCTGACATATGGTGTCCCTTAACCTGACCACTGAGATCACGGTCAAGAATGCACAGTTACACAACGAATTTGTTAAATAATGAAAAACTAGCTTTCTTTCATTATACAACATTAATCCACAACAGAAGCACACTTTGCTAAGGGCACAGATACTACTAACAACAATTCATTCACTTAAGATGGTCAAATGTCTTACCAATGGCTATTTGACTAGTCCCTGTGGTGCAGATTGAACTGGTATCACATGTCCTCATATCCCAAAAAGACTCTGGAAGGAGCCAGCCACTTTGGCATAAAAACAAACCAGGAACCGAGAGCCAGATCTCCTGGGTGTGGGTGTACATCCTCACTTCACCTCTCTGTACAATGGGCTGGATAATGCCTGTCTCTTGGGGCTACGAGGGGCAATTATTAAAGGCGAAAATACAGAAAACCAGTTTCCTTCGATGCTCCCCTTTTCTTAATCAGGGGTCCCTGGAACATCACATAGCTCCAAGGGTTCTTTGTGTACCGATTTTGGCTGTCAAAACCGTCCTCTTGGTGGGGAACCCGATACTTGATAAGATAAATCCCTTCTGAGCCTGCCATTATTTATAAACTTACAGCCACTGGCCTCCCCAGCAACACCTCCAATGTCTCCTGGAGAACAGGTAGCATGTTTCATAAAACACTGATCCTAAGGGATTCTCATTCCCCTGAGAATCCACAGGCTAAGAGACATGGACAATGAATTTCCAGTACTAACAAAAAGTCTCTTGGCTTGTTACCATGCAAGAAGACGTCATCCCACCAAAGTCTACTAAGGAACATTCAGAAAAGGGGAAATACAAATGGCTCTGAAGGGACAGTGTGTGTTCCAAGCTCCATCCAATCAGAGGGTAATCATAATAAAAGGATTCAAATATTTTTGAGAATTCCATCACATCCTCTGTAAAACTGGCCTCCGCCTTTAGTCAAAAGGGTGGTTACCTTGCAAGAAACCAGGTTCCAAGGGTAAAAACCAAAAGGTAAAAAGCCCAGTTCCAACTTCTCACTTGTGTTGTTCCAACACAATTCAAGGTATTTTTCCCTAGGGTCTAGTAACTCAACTATTAAAATACTGGCATGTGGGATTAGTTTCAGTTCTTACCAGCAATGGCACCTGAGGTCAACGTGGCGATTATCGGTGTTTTGGTCCTATCGCTGATTTTGGCCAAAAATTTAAATAGCAGTCCATCTTCAGCCATGGCGTAGATAACTCGAGGCATGGGAAACATGGAACCTAAAAGACTAGATGGGAGGAAAAGGCAAAATGCATCTGTGACACTAGCCCACCGGGAAGAAAGGCACCATAACGTGACCAGTATGTGGTATACCATACGGCATACCACCGAGAGGGAGCCCTGAACTTCTCGCCAAGAACTGCCACCCTCCAAACTAGGTGAAGCCCGTGACTGGAAGACAAAATTCAATGCATCAACCCCAGAAAAAGCACTTACTGTGAGTATGTACTCAGTGAAAGAATGGCATAACCTAACATAAACATGCATGGGATCTAGTCATAATTTTTATGAAAGGGAAATTTTGTATTTATTCCCACAGTATTTCTAGCTAAATCAAACAGAAAATAAAAGCATCACTGGGTTTATGAGGATTTCTCTGTGGTAAATCAATGTTTAGCAAATATTTCCTGTATGTACAGGCTAATGGCAAATATCGGGGGCAAAATGTTTCTTATTCAAAGGCACTTAATCCCGGGTGCCTGGGTAGCTCAGTCGGTTAAGCACCTGCCTTCACCTCGGGTCATGATCCCAAGGTCCTGGGATCAAGCCTCGCATCAGGCTCCCTGCTCAGTGGGGAGTCTGCTTCTCCCTCTCCCTCTGCCCTACTCCCCCCATCCTTCCCCCCCGCCGCCGGCTTGTGCTCTCTTTCTCTCGCTCTCTCTCTCAAATAAAATCTTTAAAAAAAAAAAGGCATTTACTCCCTTTTTCAAGGTAGCCTCTGCGTTATGGCCAAACAAAGGGCCAAAATACAGTGTTCAAAGAGGTGGCCCAGGGCAGGGGCCAAGGTTGGGGACAGCAAGCCAGACCCTTGCTGAGCAGATGTCAGAAAGTGGGCCTCAGAGGCTTCAGGATGAAAATATCAATAACAACTCATGGGATGGTTGCTAACAACAAGAGGAGAAACCACATCATCGGGGTTGGGGTGCTGGTTCTATTTCAGGGGAAAAGAGCGAGATGAGTGGCTCTCCTGTGTGTCAGGCCTCACATGGCCTACTACAGCGTACCCTCCCAAGAGCTTCAGAGGCCTCACCTGGTAGAAAGAGCGCAGAGGGAGCCGACGGCCACCGCGTACTTGGCACCTTCCCAGCCCACATGCTTGAAGGCGTCGGGCAGGGGGCTGTCCTTGTCCAGGCAGAAGTATGGCATCATGAGCGTGAGGGCGGCAGACACCCCGAAGTAAGCGATGAAGCAAATCAGGAGGGACGCGACAATCCCCACGGGGATCGCCTTCTGAGGGTTCTTGACTTCTTCACCTGGAAACAGCAAGGAGTCAGGCCCCGGAGGGCAAGACAGTGAGGGGCATCCCCACGAGCCCACAAGATGCCCATGCCACCCACAAATGGCGCCCCTGACGTGCTCAGCCCTACGGGAACCAGGGTCTTCGGGCTTCTGGGAACCACAGGCGGCCCTCCGCACACGGGCTGGAGGACCCGTAACGCCCAGGGATGGTGTTCTCGGCCTTTACGCCCTGGTCCAGCCAAGGAAAAGCCTTGTTTCCTCTGGCAGAGAAAATCAGGAGGCCCGACTGAGCCCAGCCTATTCAAGCACCCGGATAACAGTATTTTCAATGGCCTCATTTCTCCCGGATGACGCCCAGATATGAAATCGGGCTGCCGCGACGCTGTCATTATCCCGTCCCAGCAGCACGATGGTTAGTCATGTTCGTGATGCAGACTTTCCTGTCAGGCACGGCCACTTGGGGAAGTGATAAAGGGGGAAAAGATTAGCAGGAAGCTACAAATCGACACGTCACCCATGTGTGAAGGAGCGGCAGCCAGCACAGGCCCGCAGGAAGGAAAAGAGCGACCTGTGGGTAAAGTTAGGCCAGCCTGCCTGGCGGGAGAGGAGGCCCCGCAGCCCCGGCCCCACTCGGCCGGCGGGCGCCATACCTGTGGTGGCGATGCAGTCAAAGCCCACGAAGGCATAGAAGCAGGTCGCTGCCCCCGACAGGACACCGGAGAACCCAAAGGGCATGAATCCACCAGCACCAAGTGTCCCTTGTTTTGTGTCACTAGAAAAGAAGAGCCAAAGAGCGTAACACCCACGTCACAGTCCTGAGGAGGAAGCTGCTCCAGTCGTGTGTGGCCCCCCACCCCCGGGCCCCTGGCCACTGCTGGCCTGGGGCGCTCCAGAGGCCTAGTAAATGATCCCCAAGGGAGCTGTCACCAGACCCCGTAGGCCACAGGCCTTCCTGCTCTGCATGGCCCAGAGCCGCCAGGGCACTCACCGAGCCCTTTCCAGAAGCACCCCTGAATACTGGCTTTGGGGAGGGGGGAGGGACTATGAGACAGGGTGTCCCAGAGGAAAGAGGGGTGAAGCCAACAAGTGAGGCCTCTCCCCCAGGACTGTCAAACAAAGAACATATACTTTAGGACACAGAGCTGCCACATGGGTGCATGGCCCCCACCCCAGGGGCACAATGCAAAAAGTCTCCCATATTTACCGGTAACTCAAGTCTCAAAATAAGCATTTTCAGAGATACTGAGGTTAAGGAAAGTGAATGGTTCTAGTCAACAAAAGCATGTCTTTAGCACTCACATGCACATGGTAAACAGGGATGCCTATATGGGTGGGGACCAGTGCCCAGCATGGCTCGGGCACATGGGTGGGGCTCAGTACATATTTGCCGAAGTAATGAATATGCAGCCGAACACATGTTGTCAACTCCAGAAATCCTTTAAGGTTCAGAAAATAGTTCGAACAAAGTGGAACGTGTGACCCTAAACAGCGTGTCCAGGCCTAGAACAGCCACACAGAGCCTGCGGCCAGCCGTCACTTGCATTCTGGATGGCCACTCCAGGCCCTGCCCATCATGAAGTGATTCTAAGCTGCATACACCCTGGTCCTCTGCCACCACCTGAAAAACAGCTGAACTCCAGGTCCAGAAGGACAGCTTGGCTCCTCCCTCACCAGCCATTCCTTTTGCTGGCTGCCAGGCTTTCTGTCACAAGTTTCCAGAGGATGGTCACCACCTCTCCATTGCCACTCCTAACTCAACAGGCTGACAACTGCCCAGCTCTGCAGGGCAACCTGCCCCAGACCACTTGACTTCCTAGGAAGAGCCACATAGAATATTCTAGTCCTATAAACAGATGTTAATTGGGTTAGCAACTCATTGGCCCAATTTGCTTTCAGAGGGATTTATCAACTGACTAATAAAACAGAGAGCCACTTTGGTCCCAATTATTTCTTAATGAGGACTGAGCCTTGTACTGATTTCTAGAGGATCCTTGGTTTCGGAATCTGGAAGTCAGAGCATGAAGGAGGTCCTTAATCTGGGATTCATTGCAGTTCAGTAAGTAGCAATGTGAGGAAAACCCCAAGAAACACACAAGTGAGAAATGTAGGAAAAGTTGTTGCCATACTCAAAGGCAAGTTACCCACAATCCAAGTGCAAAAATGGCGGCCCAGGACAAGTCAGTCAGCAAGGCACAGGATGCGCCCACCGCATCCATAAATCACAAAGAACACAGATGCCCTGGTGAACTGACTCTTATTATAAAAAGTTTTAGGCCAAAGTCTACAACAAAACAGTTGACAGTCAAATAGCTCAAGAGAGGGAGACAGGGACTCGTAATCAAGATGCCTTCAGAGGGGCTCCCAGCAGATCCTTTCAACTTCTGACCACAACTGGAACATGGGAAGGTCTTCGCCAAGACCCTGAGTTGGGCCCAGCTCCCCTGACCCTGCCAGGACAGACAGACAGGTGTGGAAGGCCTCCAGGTTCCTACCTGCCTCCGCAAGCCCTCCAGCAACAAGGGCTATGGAAGAGCCGCAAAGAATAAATGAGTGTCAGTACTGACGTTATGTATGTTAAACCGCAGAAAGAGGCGGGTCTTGCAGGAGAGGACTAGGGCTGGAGCACGCCTCTGCCGCACAGCCAGGTGAAGCAGGAATAACAACAAAAGCACGGAACTATGGAGAGCTAGAACAAAACAAGGGCATCCTCCCCTGCTCCTCACGACTGTAATGGGGGAAGGAATCAGATGGAAGGGGAGCCACATGGAAAGGGCTGTCCCTGCGTAAACTCCCAGAGCCACCGACTGTGATAACCAACTGTGGGTGCTCCTCCAGCTGGGTTGCCATCGCTCCATGGGTGCCGGGACCCCCGTATTGCAACAAAGGACAAGACATGGGTAGGAAAAGCCCTGTGGAATATGCTAGTAAGGGAAACATGCGAGGTGCAGAAGAGTGGAGAGAGAATGTTACTTTTTATGGAAGAAGAGACAGACTATACACAAATTATGTACATAAGTTATATACATAATATACAAAATAAATATATATACTTGTAATTGCTTGTGTTTATACAAATTAAAGCTGGAGGCTTACACACACAGAAATAATAAAAATGATTACCCATGGGGGGCGGTGGGAGAATGAAATGGAAACAGAAATTCTCAGCACAAACCTTTTTATAACATCATGATAAATGAACCGTGAGAAAACATTATCTACTCAAAAAATTAAATTTGACGTTTAACTTGGGTATTCTGCTCTCACGGGCAGCGCCTCACTATGAAACAGTCATAGAACCTATTCTATATGGCCTCAAACCAAAACATTTAGAAATGTTTTGTAAAGGCTCTCTACGTAAATCAGTCACTGGCCCGTTACCTGGACGTGGTGGTTGTGCCCAGTTGGCATCTAGCCACTGACACACCAAGAAATGGGGAGGCAGGCTCTCAGGGGCTGCCGCGGCCCCCACCTGGCAAACATCACATGGCGACAGAGCAGCCTGAAGCCAGACCTTAGCTCGGTGCCCCTTCCCCTGCAGCCAGGCTGACCGACTCTTCTGCATGCCACTCAGCCGGTTACCCAGGAGTTAATAAAGAGGGTAACTGGCAGAGGGAAGAAGGAAGGAAAAGCTGTCTTGTGGTCACCACCTCCCCGAGCCCAGGGTGAGGACTTGATAGGGAGCATCCACGGTGGTGAGGGGGGTGTCCTCTCCCCTGCATGGTCTTTTCCCACTGCATCAGTGGAAAGCATCCAGCACCAAGACTCTGCTCCTGTAACTTCCCTCTGCCACCCTGACATACACTGCCAGTTGTCCCCAAAAGCCATATTCCCTCCTCCACACGGTAATAAAACTTAGTTATTTTAGCCAGACGTAGGAACGCTAAGAATAAAGACGGTATGTTTCTCAGACTCTCCGGCTACAGGGTGTAGTCCCTTGATTTAAGCAGACACAGTGCATACATCTCCTGAGAAACATCAGGGGAATGAAGTGGAGAGGGAGGCTGCTCTTCTCCTTTTCTCATTTCCTTTCTGCTGCTGGGAGCCATCCTGGACCCTGGAGTGATATTGGGAATGTGGGTCATGGACAAAGCCATCAGATGGAAGAAACAGATTCCTGGCCCACCAAAGCAATGCATCAGACCGACCACCTGCAGATGTTGACATAAGAGAACTAAACGTTTCTCTTGTGGAAGTCAATGTTATTTTTGGGTTTCCATCCTACCTGACGAGAAACCATGCAACAAAACCTTCCCGGCAGGTTTCCATGTTGTGACATAGCTTTACACTTACTACATGTGTTCCCTGTCCACGGGACTCTGGGTAAGAAAGCCAGAGGTAGCAAGAGACAAAGACCGCAGGGAACCGGCCAGACTGCTGGATAACATCGCTTTTCCAGACCAAGACACAGACAGACTCCAGGTTCAGCGGTGCATTTACAGCCGGTCACGGAGACCGGATCATAAAATCACAACCCAGTGTGGTGAGAACTGCCATCAACTGCAGGCTGAAGCTCTCCATGCTGCATGGTTTGGTTGGGAAATGCTCTATTATTTCAGAGAGACAAGCAATTTCATTCAAGACTACATGGCCATGGTTGAAAATACAAATCTACGGCTGGAAAAAAAGGGAAGAAAGCTGTTTCTAGGTTTTGATAAAATGAAAGAGCAAGCCATGCCCCAGACCTGCAGCCCTCTACCTCAGAGGCAGTGCTCCAGGGGCTGGGGACAGCACAGTCCTTATAACCAGGACCCAAAGTGGGAGGACAACCCAAGACAGTAAAGACCATCGGCTGGCACTCTTCATAAAAACAATAAAATGCAATCTCCATTGACCACCAGGAAACAAGACACACCATCTAGATTTAATTCCTGACCTCAGCCACCAGCAAAAGAGTCGCCCCAAGTTTTCAAAATCTACTGTTACTCCCAAGCTTAGTTTTAACTGGTTTTACTCTACCCTGAGATAATGAGCACCAATGAGTCTGGCATAAATATGACTCAGGAAAGCTTAGGAACATTACATTAAAAATCCTCATTTCTCGAGGCGGAGCAAGATGGCGGAGGAGTAGGAGACCTGGATTTCGTCTCCTCTCAGGAATTTAGCTGGATAGGGATCAAACCATTCTGAACACCTACTAACTCAACAGGAGATCGAAGAAAAGAAGAGTAGCAACTCTCTGAACAGAAAAGTGAACACTTTCTGGAAGGTAGGACGTGTGGAGAAGTGAATCCGAGGCGATATTCGGGAGGATAGACGGTGGGGGAGGGGCCTCCGTTTGCTGCTTCTGGCAAGTGATAGAGCAGCAGAGCATAAAATCGGAACTTTTAGAAGTCGGCTCCGCTGAGGGACATCGCTCCAGTGGCTAAGCAGGGGTTGGAACCCTCACGGGACAGTGTGGTCTCAGGACCCTCAGGGTCACAGGAAGACCGGGGGTGCCTGAGTGCAGTAGAGCTCCCAGGTATCGGAGCGGGGAAGCCGGCTGCAGAGGCGGAGCCCAGGCACGGGCTCTCAGCTCGGGGTTGCCATAAACCGTGATCCGTGGCACAGTCGGGCCACTGCTCCTCCAGCAGGGACCCAACAAGTGGCAGATCCTGAGAGACTCCCCTTCCTCCCCCGGGAGCAGCGGCGTGGGAGCGCACCGCAGGGATCTGCTGGGTTTGGAGACTCCACATGGGGTCGGGTGCCAGAGATAGAAATGATCAGTCACAGGCCGGGTGAGCACAGAGTGCGGCCGGAGACCGGGGAGACGGGAGTGACTGACGGCTTTTCTCT